GCTTTAATTTTGATTTTAATTAATTTTGAATTTACTAAGCCACTGTAGTGCAAATTTCGTTTGACTAAGGCTGTCCACACACCGGCTCAACCAGGTGTGGCTCTGCTTTCAGTGCAGCTGTTTCTGCTGGGGGTTGTAGCAGCATTTCATTAGTGTAATTAAAGCTCTAGTTTATTTTGTTTACAGTTTACCGCTAGTGGAACTTCAAGCACTGGCAGACAGGGAGGAAAATAGACCTGAATCTTTGCTGTTTTCTTAAAAAAGCTCAGAGCTGCTAATTGTGCTTGGGTACCCAGTATGAAGGCAATGCAATTTGTCCCGTGGTAGAATTGCTCTATGGGTGCTGTCACTTCCCTTGATTTTTTTGTGTGTTTTTATTTTTTGAGAACAACTCTCCTTCTCTTCCTTCCTCTTTCCTTTGCTTGTTGACTGAAGAGTAGCTGAGTTTCCTAAACTGTGCTGGGATGGGTTTGGAGTGTTTGACCTAGCTGGAGAGTTTTGGGACAGGTGCCAAGGTTGGCAGCTTTTTGTTTTGTAAGATGTGTTTAATGTGCCTCTGGGTGCTGACAGTGTAAGAATATCCTGAGAGGAAAACTGTGTCTGTGTTTGTGAGCCTCCTTTATAATATCATTTGCTTAGCTAAACTTCTGATTTCATAGCAGAAGTGCTGGAGACCCTTTGAAAGGCAGTGATGGAGTGGGTAATGCAAAATTGCCTTTTCTTTCCTTTAAGGAACTGCCTTAGGTATGGCTTCTGTTTGGAGATGAGGCATCCAGACATGTTATCTAGGTGCATTATTGAGGCCAGGGGGATTTGCCTCATGTCATTTCATGTGTTGCTTTGGGTGTAATTGTAACTTCTTGGAATGGTAGTTAACCTCTAACAACACAAATTAACATATATTCGATAAGCACTTGATTTCTGTGAAGATCTGAGGGATATGTCTGGCAAATTGAAACTCCTGATTTATTCTCCCCTCTGAGGTCCAGCACTAATAAAGGAATTGGCCCTGTCCATTATTTCCCTGCCCACTTCATGACCATATAAAAGTATTTCTTCTCGATATGAAATGCCAGTTTTTCCCCCAGCTTTGGACACCCCTTTTATTCAGCTGTTTCTACAAGGGTGTGCCAGGAAAAGGGCTTTACAAAGGATGTGGTGAACAAACATTTCTTTTCCTTTCTCCTCTTCTTGCCCAGCTCAAGACCCACATCACCCTAATCCTTCCAAGCACCGAGTAAAGCATTTGCTGCCTTTGTGCTCAGCTGTAGGTGCAGGACAGACCTTTTACAGGTGGCTGCAGCTGGCCCTGCCAAGTGGCTGCACTCTGGTCGCCGAGTTTCTGGTTTCTCTCCAGCCAGCTCTTGCATATATGCATGCCTCCTGTAAATTTTTAATGACTCAGCTCAAGCAGAGGTTTGTTCTTGGTGTTGAGTTAATTTGCCAGGCTGAGGTTAAAGCGAGTTTACCTATTTGATGTGATTGAAATGAGTTTATAAATATTAGGAGGAGCTGCCTGTGAGTATCTGGCTTTTTAGGAATGGGATATTTGTGGTGAAAATTGGATCGGGCTTGTAACACTGGAAGCAGGCTGAAAATGAAGTGCATCCCCTCAGGATTATAACTTCCCTGGCATCTTTTTACTACTGTGAAGAATGGATTATGTGTGACACAAGTAATTAAAATTCACTTTTAAAAGTCTGTCAAGTATGTGTTTTTGATATAAAACCTGGCTGAGCAAAAGGTGCAACTTCACAGTAAAATCGAACCCTCATATCTTTAAGGCAGTCCAGTGTCTGACTTGAGCCTGCCAAGTGCTCCAAACATGCACAACTTGAAAAGCAGACCCCTAGTATTTCAGTTTGGCCATCATAAATAAGGGATTTGGCCTTTATCTCTCCTTGCTTCAGATATTTATTAGGAGGAAAGTGACTATACAACACCCTAAAGGACTGCTGTGAAGATAAAATATGAGTATCAGTGTTGTCACCTCAGTGCCACACAATATTCTTTTTCTCCTGTCTTCTTCCCAGGAGAAGGCTAATGCATTTTGTATTTATTAATGTGCTGTGTGGTAAATGAGAGCCACAAGTGAAATAATGAATAGTAAAAATGTGTTTAAAAAGAAGATGGAGGAAATGTAAATAAATCTAAACTCTCGTCTTGGTTTTGGACTATATTTCAGCATGCTGACTGAGCTGTTCATCACAGAACAACAGAGACCTTGAGAAAAGATTTTAAATAAATGCAGAGACACAAATGTGGAGTTCTGGATTTCTGTTCCTCTTTTGTTACATTTTCTTTTGCGTATTTGCATGGTTGGCAAAAATCAAATTCACACCCTTGGGTCTCGTCATTCCAAGAGTAGTTCCTTGTAGAGTTTACTTAGAGAGTGCAGTGGGCAGTATGAAAGAACATTCCAGGCTCAGCAGCCTATGGATCCGTGTTCCTGGAGAGTGAAGCACCAAATATTCAGTTTGCACAGGGGAGTGGGTGTAGCAGAGTGAGAGCCCTGCAGGATATAAACCCGTGGTTACAGTGTATAGGGCATGCCAAGGGGAGCCTGCAGGATTCAAACCTATGGTTACAGTGTATAGGGCATGCCAAGGGGAGCCTGCAGGATTCAAACCTATGGTTACAGTGTATAGGGCATGCCAAGGGGAGCCTGCAGGATTCAAACCTATGGTTACAGTGTATAGGGCATGCCAAGGGGAGCCTGCAGGATTCAAACCTATGGTTACAGTGTATAGGGCATGCCAAGGGGAGCCTGCAGGATTCAAACTATGGTTACAGTGTATAGGGCATGCAAAAGGGAAGCCTGCAGGGTCCAGGATTTCAACCAGTGGTTACAGTGTATAGGGGCTGGAAGGTGCAGGACTGTGCACAGAAAAAAAATGCTGGTTACTGAAAGTAGCAAATATTCTGAAAAGACTACATCTCTCCCTCTGAGCAGTGCTGATGGTCCAAACCCTGTCCCTTCATCCTCTGGGCCTTATAAATGCACAGGGACTTTATGAACAGTGTGTACTCCTTAAGTCTCGGCTTGTATCCCCTTCCTATGACAGTAATTCAGATTCTAAGTGGATTAAGCACCTGATTCCTCTGAGAGTTGTGTTGAGAGCTCACATCCAGTGCAGGTGTTGCTATTGCCTGGTTTTGGGTGGTTTTATTGCCAGCATCCCCCTTCAAGGAGCTTGATCAAGGGCAAAGACTCACCTAACAAAAGAAAAAAAAATCAGTGGACCAGGGTGTTAAGGGATCATCTTTGAAGCTCCAATATGTTGTACTGACACTTGAAGAGTGGTGAGGGATCCTGAATTTTTTTACATGCAGGTAGCAAATGTATTGCAGGAAAACATTGAAAGTACGTCCAGTTTATGGTTATGGAAAGTGATGACAAAAAAAAATGATGATCACTGTCTTTATTTAAGTAGCTAAGTATCAAGATGCAATACTTTGAGTCTCCAGGTTGTCTTTCCACAGTCCTATTTAATGATTTTTAATCATGTCTCAGTATCATGTAATTTTAGATGATAATTTTTTAGAAAAAAGCCACGGTTTGTTTCCTTGATGAGATAAATATTGGTGGTTGAGGCAACCAATAGCCAGTCCTCACCTATTGACAACATTTCCATGGTGGTCTTGGTCACAACAGAGTGACCCTGTTGTCCCCTGGTGAGAAAGGGAGAGAACAAATCTTCCATCTTTTAATGTCAGAAGTGTTGATTTGGCTTTCTGTCTTTACCCTGTGATTCAGGGGTTAAAGGCTCCCAGAGGCTGCCTGCAGTGACATCCTCTGCTTCATCACACAAACTGACATGTGGCTTTTTTATTAAGGTACTGTGCATGTCTTAAAGCAAATCACAGTGCCATTATGTGATTTAATTTGCTGTTCTAAAGTCCCTTCTGAAACAAGGGCTCTTTTCTCAGTCTGTGTGCATGTGTGTGATGTTTATTCCTCCCTCTTGTAGGAGGAGTAAGTTGGTGGCTTTTTTGTAATCCCTGCTGGAAACCGGTGTTGGTTCATTGTGTTTCTTTGTTGTTTCTTTTTTTTTTTTCTGTTTGCTGCTTTCATCTTCTTTCCTCCCTATTTTATTCCTTCTTGCAGAAGGGGTAATGAATAAATTATTAACACTTATTCTTGGGACTGTACTCCTATTGTAGTTCTAAATACAGACTATAGGTTCAGGGTACAACAGGAGAAACAAGTGCATTAAAAGCAGATTTTTTCCAACTTCTTACAGTTAAAATAATGAGAGTAGTGTGAGTATTAAAGGAAAAAAACAGATTAATTGCTGTGTTTATTGCTAACATTTTCAAAAACTGAGTATTCTAAAGCTGTTATGCTGCTGAAAAACTAAGGACTCATCGATATTAGTTTTATGTTCTTCTTGGTGAAGAAGCCAGCAGAGACTTCATAACAAAGGAGAATAAAGTCTACTCATATTTTTGGAGGGTTGCATACTGTCAGGAAGACAGGCTGCCAGGAGCTGGAAGGTGTTAGAAAATAATCAAAAAAGAAGAATTAATGCTTCTTTTTTTGTAGGAAGATGTGACAGATAACATCCAAGGGAGAAGACTTCAAATGAAACCAATGCAACAAAAATACTGCTGTGTAATTACAGATGTTGCTGAGTTGAGCAACTCCCTGCTAATCACATTTAATTAATATAACCCAGTTGCAAGGTGATTTATGGGTGATTTAAAGAAGTGTCTAAGATCAGAAGGACTGGTTTTCTGTTCTCTCTAACAAATCAACCACGTAGGCAGCTCTTACAAAACAATGCAAATGCATCCTTAAGCAGAATTAATGGACACAGTGGATCAGGAGGTTTTGGGAATTTTCTCTGACTCCTAAAAGTGTCTCCTTTGGCCTTTCCTTCTGCAAGGAGTTTAGTCTTATGTTACATTTTTGCATGTTAGTAAGCTTAATAGAGCCTCATTTTTACTTGTGTGTTCAGTTGCCTTTTGACTTACTGCTGTGGCACAACAGTTTTAGACATGTATTTGCTTTTGTATGCTGTACAGGGCATTCAGAGTACTAAATTTGGAGAGCATATTTTGGTATTTTGTTGATATATAGTTTGTTTGGGGCAGGCATGTGCCTGGAAACTGTTCCAGCAGAGATGAGTGCAAGTGTTTCTGGAGCTCTGGAGTAGAAGAAGAGGTAGCTGAGAAACATGAAGCTGTTACTGAAGGAATAAAACAAGTACATTTGTATTTCTGTGAAACAGACTGCTGGAGACAATTTAAGATGGTACATAGTCCATTTTTTTCCAAACTGTACTGTGCTCGTTACTCATTTTAGTTTTGAAATGGTTTTCTTTTTCCTTCAGTTCTATAGGTGCTGGTGCAAAAACAGTGTAGCCATGGATCAAAGAAAAAATGATAGTTTTGTCCCAAGTATCACACAGCTGGAAGACTTCCTGACAGAACATGACTCCAATGTGGTTTGGCTGTTAGTAGGTAAGATGAACTCTTCTGTTTTGGTTAAATTTCTTCTGTGATACCATAACAAAGGATTAGCATGACAGTCAGCTACAATAACTTCCTTGTGCCAGGATGTGCCTACCTGCCATTTAATCTGGTGTAATTTGGAAAGTGATCTAAGGACTATTGTGTTTAATGACACAACTTCCAGACTAAGTTGTGTGCCACAATGAGCCTTTAAGCCAAGCTGTCATTTAATCAGTTATGAGCTGGATTTGTAAATATGCCTGATTTAGGTGTGCTGATTTTTATTTTTTTTTTTAATAGCACTAGTGGTTATATTGGTGTAGGTATTTTTATTTTCTTTATCTATAAACAAGTGGATCAAGGACAGCAAAATAAATATGAAGTTGTACTTGGGTCCATGTAAGGATACTGAAAGTGTGCAGTGAATTCAGAGTTTTCCAAAGGTAGATAATGCCTGCTTTCCAGCCTTGACTCTTGGACTTGGAGTGAAAGGCAGCACAGGAACAACAACTTGATTTTTTCACTTTCATTTCTGACAAGTAAAAGCTGTCTGTTGACTATTAACATACTGGAATTATTTTTCAGTAGACCAAATTAAATAGAAAGGGCATAGGTAAATTATTTGAGGGTGCTTGCTGTTTGTTATTTCACTTTTCATGTGTTGAAATGGAAAGTTTGTACTCAACATAGAGTTCTCAGTGTAGTCAAGATGAAAATAGGGGAAGTCACTGGTAGCAGCTCATGGTAAAACATGGAACAGATGCAAATAGATCTGAAATTTTTGTCTTCAAAAGCTTTGACTTGCTTCCTGTTATGAGGTTTAGATAGAAACACATTTGGGTGATGTTTATTAACTGAGCCAGTTTCAACCAGCCTTTCCTCCTTTACTTTTATTTGCTAACCTATGGCATCCTCTTATAAGGGAGCATAAAAAGATATCAATAATTTCCTCTCCTGAAGCAGGTTATTACTGGTCTCAGTAAAAGGTGATGAATTCCAGAAATGAACACACTCCTCAAAGAGCTGTTGCTCTCTTCTGAAATAATTTCTAAAAATACAGTAAAACTTTGGAAATGCAATTTCTAGAACTTGGTTTCAGTGAAGAGGCTTTAAAAATCAAGACTATAATAATGAAATTAATGAAGTTTATGGGATTTGGTGAAGAAAAAGGCCACAATTTGTTGCAGAGGTGAGTCTAGTGCTGAAGGCAATGGATCAGGACTGGAAACTGCAGTAGTTTCCCAATTTTTCTCAGTATATTTCACCTTAAGAGGGCACCTTCTTGACTTCAGCCATCTAGCAGTGGCCAGTTGAACTTTAAACTCAAATTAAGCTTTTTTGAACCCTCAGAGTGTGAGTCATCCCAGCTCCCTCCCTCCCCACAGAGAACCAGCAGTGAGGAGTGAAAGTGAGGGAGCTGAGCACTGTCCTTGGAGTGTGCCTGCCCTCCATGCCAGCTGGAGTTTCTTTCTGGGATGGAGTTTCTTTTTCCTGCTCTTTCCTTTGTGATCACCCACACACATTTGGTTTGTTTAACTTGTCAAGCAGCTTATTGCCTGAGGATATGAGCTGCTTGAATTTTGGTCACACTGGATCCATTTTCCAGTAAGGAAACGACAAAAGTCACGGGAGTCATTTTCATCTTCTCTTTCAACAAAGTATAGTTATGAAGCAGTGGAGTATCCCACTGAAAAAAAATAAAGGAACAGTGAAAGAACAGATTGAAGAGAGTTCGGATGATTAATTAAAAAGAAAAAAATCACAAAAAATTTACAAAAACCAAGTGAAGGTGTCATGCTCCTATGCCTTTCTGCACTTCAGGTTTTCCATTTTTAGAATAAATGAAAAACTTCTGCTGCAAAGTCCAGATTTTTTTCCCTACTCTGCTTTGGGTGAAACAGAATGGTAATTATCAGTAAGGTGAATTAGAACTAGTCCATTCCTTGGCAGTGCCATTCCTTTTGGGTTTGTCCTTCTGGAAGCTTAGAGAACCCTTGTAATTAGAAATAGGTTACTCGCTCTTAATCAACTAAAGTAAAAATTACTTTGGGGATTTGCAGACCTATTTTTTTTAAAAAAACCCATGTTTCTCATTGGATTACTTTTTCCTTTTTTCCCTATCAAATTCCATGCTTGAACTGTTGAGGTATTTCTGCTCACCCAAGGGCTGGTACATTTCTGTCAGGATGCAGCATTGTAGGAAATGGTTTCATATATGGTAATGTTTCCTGTGAATATATGAGAGACTAGAAATTTAAGTTACAGTTTACAATTTGGAGAAGAGTAGGGAAGGAATGTAGTATGACTTTGGTGGTGTTGGGGTTTTTTACACTGTTTTGAAATAAATGTCCATGTAGGACAATACATGTTACAATTCAATCTATAAAATCTATCACTAATAATCTAATAACTTCTTAGATAAGTGATGTAATGAAATAATTTGATGCCTTCTGCAGGTCCTCTGGGAGGACAGTTTTTTTATATTGGGAAATGGAAGAATGGTCAAGATTATATTTTTCTGGATTTCTCATTTCCCCTTTTTCCCTCATTTCTTCATACCCTTCTCACCCAATTTCTATGAAAGCACCCATTAAAGTGTCCCATCAATTTCACATTTTTTGGAGGGCAGGAAGAACACTGCTATGCCTTAGAGTCCTAATAGGTAAGGTTTTTATCTGGGTCAGTGTACTTTCAAAAAATGCTTTAATTCATTTTAATCTTTCAACAGCAACAATATTGTCCTGTGGATGGATTATCTACCTAACTTACTATAATTCCCGGAACATTGGACTCATTTTAACGTTGGTTCTTAACAGATTATATAAACATGGCTACATCCATATTGGTAAGTTGTGATTCGTGTAATGCCACTCTCTGTCTGCTGGTTTTTGTCATGCCTCAATTTGCTAAAAACTTCAAGTAAACTCAGAGTTCCTTTGTCAGAGTGATTTGAAAACATTCAGTGGGTTCAAAGCAGAGAATCAACTCTTGAGTCCCTGTTCCAGCACTGTCCTTGCTTTCTAAATAAGCTGTCAGAACAACTAATCACAGGTTGATCCATACTGGGACTATGATATGTAGAACTGATGCTGGCTAGAACAAAATCCATTAACTTTTTATTAAAATATTTTAAACTTTTTTTCAATAAAACAGGTCAGTACAAATCACTTGGGCACTCACCCACTTACAAAAATATCTGATGCTGAGTCACAGAGGGCTGTAGCCCACAACCACACTGATCACACTTTTAATTTTCTTTCACTTGCTCCTCTGCCTTCCTCTGTCTGCTTCACAGAATAGCAATGACTTCAGTTCTGGACTTTTTCTGCAGCTATACCTCATAAATGTAGTGAAAACTTATAACCAAAAAAATCCCATTTACACTTGGCCCCTGCAATTCATTTGCTTATGTCCTCAAGAATCTAAGAACTGTATTCCAAATCATGCTCAAACCCTGCTTTTTTGAAGAGCAAAATAGATTAAATACTTCCTGGCTGCTCCACTTGATCTATAGGCTTTTATTAAAATTTCTCTGTGAAATTGTCATTAAGTAAGGACAGCTGATATGGCTGGCCAAATATGTGGTATTCTTTATAAACCTCATCAGCAAGTAGAACATAACATTAATTAAATCCCATGATTTACCGCTTGGTTTCAGTTGTTTAACGTTGATTTTTATTTCTTTATTTTTTTTTTAATTATGGTTTACTTAACTTTCTGTGAGTGAGGTGAAAAGCCTTAGGAGAAATCTGGGCTATTGCATGACCTGCTGGTCTTTTCATGCTTATTAATCCTTCTTGCTGTAAGCATAATTTGTCATAATAATTGGACCAAGAGTCTTACAGCCATTTAAAGTTTTTGAAAACAGTCCATCAGAAATCTTTATTTCTCTGATTATGGCCTTGCACACAATGGCTTGAGATTCTAAATGTTCAAAACAGCTTTTCTAAGTCTTCTGAGCTTTGCAAGACACCTGCATGTCTGTGAGTGACTCATGTGCCTCAGGGGCTTGGTTGTGTTGTTGGGTGGTGCCAAACCCAGCATCCTTTAGTTGTGTACTCAATCTTCTGAATCTCTGACTTCCCTTCAGAAAGGGAGCCCAAGATACCCAGTTAACCCATTTCAGGTAACTGAATGCTGTATTGTCTCTGATCACGAAATCAACAGCTTTAGGTTAATAAGCACTTTTTTGTTTTTATAATTAGGTTCCTTTTCATTCTCTGTGCTGTCTGGAAAAGTCATGGTGCGTGAAATCTATTTCATCACAGAGGACATGTCCATCAGGTACAGATTTCCAAGGGAGTCTCCCTTCTAAATAAGGATTTTAAATACAGGTCTAAATAGCACAAATCAAAATGTGGTTTTCCAAATGAGCAGTGTATTTATAAGTGTTAGACTGTCTCTTTTGGTGCCAGTATTTAACACTCCTACATACTTGTGAGCTCATTTGCTGCTTTAGCCTTATCATTGGGAAGTGAGTGCTGGATAAGATTGCAGTTGTCCTTAATATTTGCCAGATAAACCATTTTAGAGTGTGAAGGAGAACTGTTTTTTCATTTATGTCTTTGACTCCTTCATGCTCCTGCTCTTAAATCTGGAAGATTCCCATTGGCTAAGTAGTTGGTATTTACTTACTGGGATTCAGAATAATTTGTTTTGTGAACTGCACCCCAGCAAATAGTTGGTAGTTTTGATTTTTGCTGTCAGATTTGGAAAGCCTTGAGGAGGCAATGGATATGGGATTTTATACGAGTTTCAGCTAAAGCAGGAATTCTGTAATGCACCATGTGCTGAAATGCATTGTGCTTTCATTTTTCATGAACACTGCCTCAGCTGCAGATCTCTGCACAAACTGCATGTAGAATGTGGGATTGTCTCTCTCTCAACTTCTGTTCCATTCCATTTTTTTTGATTTAGAATTCAAGATGGATTTATCATTTTTCGCTGGTGGAAGATGTACAACCCTAAGCAGAAGCAGCACGGTAGGTTTCCCAAAAAGGTTTCAAAATTTAAAATTGCAGGTAACCCAGAGAGACACACTTCCTTTGTCCAATCACAGGCATGCAATTGCTTTGTTAATATGTGTGAAGTACTCTGGATCCTCAGAAGGTATGGATTTGTTCACTGGTTGCAGAGTAGATGAAATAAATACAGGATTCATTATCGGGGACATGAACCCTTCTTGACACAAACCATTAATCTTAATAGTAGCCTTCATTAGCTGGAGTCCAAGCATAATTGTCTCTGTATTGAAGTTGATAACTATGATGAATAGAGATGTCTTGTGTTCTGCAAGTGATTTTGGTGTCTGAGTTTCAATGAGTGTTGTGCTTTCAGTATTTTAGCTCAAGTGTTACTGTAAGGGATGTTCTTAGTATTTGACAAGCCTGTGTTTTGATGTCATCTGTGGTTACAGAAGTGAGGGAGTGTGAAAAATTCATTTATTTTTCTTCCTTATCTCTGGCTGAAGATGGGTGATTAACACAGATGCAAGAGATGAATTGTATCTGCAGAAAACAGTGAGAAAGCATAAATAGCCTAGGGCTGTGTGCTTAATCATTTATAGGATTAGAATCTTGTTGAATGGAACTCGGGTCCTGCCTCTCGACTTTTGGAGCTGTCACACCTCCACTGCTCATTCAAGGAGGTGCAGAAATGTCAGCTATGTACAGCAGAGTACACTAATTGAGAGGGTCATTGAACTTTGGAGGGCTTTTTTTTTCAATCCTTGCCTTTGGAAGTGCTTTCTGCTGGTGTGAAGCCTCTTGGACTTGTCAGCAAGCTCGTGGAGCTGTTGCTGTGTCAGTACCTACTCAGCAGTGGCAGCAGTACTGCATGCAAAATCAGTCAGGGGAATGTGACACACACCACTCTGGGCAGTGACAGGAGTTTGGAAGAGCTGCTCATTCCTATTTACTGAGGCACTCCCTCTGAGGTGGTAGTGCACAATTCAAATTCTTTATACCATAAAAAAAATAATTCAAGAAGTGTAACCTAGTCTTGGAGTTAATTAGATTTTGCCAACCAAAGGTTACTCTCCAACAGGTTTTCATAGGATTTTCTTCTGCTAGTTGAAACCTATTTCTCTAGTGGCTCAGAGAATAGAAAAAATGAGTTGAATTTAATTCAGTGAAGATGATTGCCTGTCCTCTGTGGTGGTGTTTTTGCTCGGCAATATTGCAAGGCTTTAAAGGCTTCCTGCTGGCATTTAAGGCCACATGATTAGTGGACAAATAATCCAAGTAACCACAGAAGTTAGAGCTGTCCAGGTCTGACAGCAAAGTAACGTGACTAAAATGCTTTTTGAATGTTAAATCATGCTGGGCCTTGAGGTTTTGTGTTTACTTGAGAAATGGAAGTGGTTTAGTAACAAAAGCTGGAGGATCATGTTGTGGATAGGGCACACCCCGATGACTTGGCTGAGGTGCCACAGCCCATTATCAATTTTCACATTGTGAAACAATCTGGTAGTTACTTGTACATAACCTACATAAATGCTTCTTTGAATCATTTAGTATTATATCATTCAGATTTGCTTGTCTCTTTTTCCTTGCTCTTCTTTTTTTTTTCCTTTTCCAAAAGTGTTTTACCCAACCAAAGTGATGTGGGGGTATCAAACCTTATTTTTATTATTAGGAAGAAGAGATACTTGTCTCTTTAAATCCTCTTTAAAGACATGAATTAGTACATATGATTTAATTTAGTAAATGAAGTCTAATGCTTACATCCAGGAATTGAAAAATTACATTTATTTGTGCTCTTGATGCTACTGAGGTCTCCCTGGTGACCAATTGTATGTCCCCATCTTTGTCCATGTCATTCTTTGCCTGACTCTTATTAATGCAAGTTGAGTTTGGCAACAAATGGATTTGATGGTGCTTTTATGAAAACAGGAAGGAACTGAAGCTGGCTCATTAACTTTTCTCTGTCTCCTGTTAAAGAAAACTTTGATGTCAGTGTGTTCTGGGAACTTACTTTCTATATGTATATATTTTTATAATTATATGGAAATTTCTGGTACTTCAGGTGTGATGGTTGTTGTTGGGACAGTGTTGCAGAGATGTGAGATTTTGGGGGACAGCTTAGTTTTTTATCAAATTTGGTGCATTTAATCAAGCAAATGTCTCTAAACCTTGGATCTTGGGCATCTGCATTTCTTCTTTTGACTCTGACCACAAATGTTGGCTTTGAGTTTTAACTTCACGTGTCTTTGGGAAATGCTGCCTTCAGTTTGTACCCCCTGAGTTCCAGATTGGGGACTGCAGTAATAGCCATTGATTCTTCAGCTGCCTGGAGTGTGTTTGACTTAGAAAGACCAGATGAGGTTTTTAGAGCAGCTCAGGTCTCTTGAGTCAATGTGTAATGGGCACTCTTTCAACTGGGTAATTAGGGGGAAGTGGTTCGAGCTTTTCCCTCACATTAACTGCATAATTAGGTCACACTTTCTGAGGCAAAAGTATGTCACAATCAGCTCTCTATATGATCAGCAGATGTTAAAATCAGTTTTATGGATCAGAGTCAAGCTGATATAACAGTTGAAATTTTAAATTTGTGAGAATGTTGACTGATTGTGCAAAATGAGTATGATCCTGTTAGTTCTGCATATTCATGTTTCTCTGTAAAAGAAAGCTTTTTCTCACTTAAGGCATGCTGTACCAGGGAGCTTGGCTAGAAAACCATTTAGGTTTTGAGATTGAATTGATCTCAGTGATATCTGTGCAAAAAAGCAGAAATTTTCAGCAAGGCTTCTCTTCTATGCATCAAGAGGGATGTTTGTTTTCATACATGAGACTGAAAAACTTCATTTACTATTTTATGCAGTTTCTGTCTGGATTTATTTTTGGACTGTGACCTAGGGGTGAAATGCCTTTCAGATTTAATATTTTTGTACACAGCAGTCTTATTTGCCAAGTTTTACTGATTTTCTTAGGATGCTGTAATTATTTTGTGGAGATTTTACTGCTTTTTAATATGTACTTCAGCAGCTGTTCAGTATTGTGTGGATTGGTTTTGCAAAATGTGCATATTTGAGAAACTGTAAATACTCCAAGGGAATGTTGAAATAGAATTAGAACCTCTTTTCCTATTATTTGCTTAGATCCAAAGGCAGAAACTCGACTGTATATTATGGTGAATGACTTTGAATTTCACGTGTACAACCGCTCTGAGCTTTATGGACAACTTCAAGAACTGTTTGGCTTGGATCCCACAATAATTCCAGCAAAGAAAGATGATGAGAGAGCACAAGTGAATGGGAGGCAGAGAACACACGCTAATCTTGAAAGGTAAATAATTATTCATTTTGCTGTTTTGCAATGCTTTGTTCTGCAAAGTGCTGAACTAATTGGGGAATGTTTTGTTAAAGTGTGCTCTGGAGGCCAAAGGAGGGAAGCAGAGCTGAGAGAAATTGGCACTGACAAGCTTGACAGTCTGAATCTTTTCCCTTTCCTCAGACTTCCTACCAGTAATAATGAAAAAACAGCCAAACAAACTGGGCTCTCTTGTTTAATGATCAGAGACAGGCTGAAAAATCTGTTTGAAATACAGTGTGGAGAGGAAGCATGTGTTGAAGAGGATTATGCTGGCACAATAATAATGGTTTTGCTCAGTAGCAGTAACAGCTGCTCAAGACATTGAATAGGCAAAATGTAAGGATCTGTATGGTCTTGTGTACAGCTACACAAGCTGTCTTCTGTTAATTCCTCTTTTTGGGGTACCCCAGAAAACATGCTGTGGAAATAGAAGGAGTTGCACATGGCTCATGTGCAGTGCAGACAGATGTTCAATAATCAGCCTCTCTTTGGGCAGGACCACACCAGACTGATTTACTGTCAGGAGCAGGGAAGATCTAATGGCACTTGTGTCCTGCCACTGCTGCTGGCCAGTTCCTAAATTACAGAGTGGGCAGCTGCAGGATGCTACATCAGTCTTGAGTTTGACTAAGGGCTCTGCTTCCCAGGCAATCTCATTGTGTTTTTATCTCAAGCCCTTACTGACAGGCCCAGGAAGGATTTCTGCCTTTAAGGAGGATGTGTCTTGAGAAATAAAAAATCCCATGCCTCAACAGGAATATTTAGAACAGGCCAAGATCCCCTGAGGAAGATTTATTTAGCTATTGCTCTGAGTTAAACAAGGCATGCTTGTTTCCTACCTATGTCTGCACCAAGGTGTAGTTCCATGTGCTTCCTGCTGTTCTCCCAGGCTTGGGAAGCCTGGCAGTAATAACCCCCCACTTTTTCTTTTTTTTTTTTTAAATTTAGTGTTAAAGTAAAAACAGAATCTCAAGACCCCTCTTCCTCATGGAGATCACTTATTCCAGTCATTAAAGTCAATGTGAGCACGGTGAGTGAAAAGACCTCTATAAGGACAATATTTACCAGTATGTGCTTAAAAATGACACTTGCCATTCATTTTTGTTGCACATTCTATTTCAAGTTTTAGTTTGTCTTCATGTTTTAAAAAAGTTAAAATGACACCATCAGCATTCCCATCACACAGTCACAAATCACAGTTATGTTCTAACTTTTGGGAAATACTCATGCCTTATACTTAGTAATGATTTCCAGAATATCAGCAAGTAATTCAATTGTTGGGTTTTTGGCAGATGTTTGGGGTTGGTTTTTTTTCCCTCTGCATATTTTAGTAGGGATTTTTGGACACTTTCTTTAAAAGTTGATGTTACATCCCAAAACCACACCCTCCCCTCAAAAACCCAAATGAACAACAGCAAAAAGGAGCCAGGAAAACTGTTAATGAGGTAATAGAAGAAAAAAAATCAGAGTTTAACATATTAGGTAGTATTTTTAGATATGCACAGGTTATGGCCAGGATTTCTGTCCACGTTCTTTATCTGTACATGACTGGTTGAACTGCATTTTTATATGTAAATACTTAAATGTAAGAGATCAGTGTAAATAGATAATTAAATATATCAGTGATTACCAATGAGTTACTGGATTTGCTTTTTGATTTAGGGTCGCTTGGCATTTGGGAATCATTATCAGCCACAAACACTTTGCATTAACTTTGATGATGCCTTTTTGACATACACCACTAAACCTCCTTCAAGCCACCTCGATCAGTTCATGCACATTGTGAAGGGAAAATTGGAAAATGTTCGAGTCATGCTGGTCCCAAGCCCCAGATATGTTGGTCTTCAAAATGATGAGTAAGTTTGGGGTATTTTTGTATCCATATTATTTTGCTATTTATTTGAAGAACACAAAGAGAATGTTTGTTGTGCTTCAGTGTTTTAATTTTGCCATTTTTACCACTCTGAAAGTTTTAAATTTTGAATCTTTGAACAAATTTCTTTTACGGAGAAAAACACTGTGTTTCTGTGTTATTCTAGGTTTGTATTTTGTGTGTGTGTTCTGTTCTATTGTTAAACACAGAATCATAGAATAGTTTGGGTTGGAAAGATTTCTTTGAATGCCATCTAGTTAAACCCCTCTGCAATGAGCAGGGACATCTTAAAGCAGATCAGATTGCTCAGATCCCCATCCAGCCTGGCCTTGAATGTTTCCAGGGATGTGGCATCCTGTGTCCAAAGTCTATTTTCCTTCTCTCAGGTACTAGACCTGTACTTTGCCAGCACTAAATTTCTAGCTGAAATGTAAGGTTTAAGATGTTGACTTCTGTAAAGCTGATTCATGGTTTAGGAGATATTAAAAAAAAACAACCCAGAACTGGGTAAAAGCTGCTGATCCTTTTACCTCTGGATTCTGTATAAGTGGGGTTAGGCAGCTTGAACAAACTGAAGCAAGTCAAACACAAGCCTGAATGCTTGCATGAAGCAATAAAATAAACTGCACATAATTTGTGCCTTAATTGGCCTTTTATCAGCCAAATACTGCTGTGTGTAACTTGCCTTTATGTTTTTCAAAGAATATTCTGTGGCTCCATACAGAATCTTACTCTTCCAACATGACGACAAAGGAAATTTCTGCAACTAATATTGAAAACAAACGAGATTAAAACAAAATAGGATTAAGATACTCAAACTATTAGCTTTTCCTCCTGCTTCCTCTTAAGTATTTGCTTTTTATGCTCTTACCATCCCTGCAGCTCCTGATGGCTAAAGGATGGCAACTGTATACAAAATGTGCTCTAATTTACTGGGTAAATTTAAAAAATTGCCCAATTGACTGGAAATGGAGAATGTTTGACTCTTTAGAGCCTGCCCTCTTATACTGCTTTGGTTTAAAATTTAAGCTGGGTGTTTTAACTTCCAGAAATTCCTGCAGGCAGTGAATGTATAAAAAAACAGGCAAGTGATTTGATGAAATTGGTGATGGACTGACTAATCAATACAAACATCAGAATTGCACCTTGAAAACGGACATTTGGTATTGCCAACATCTGTCTCAACACTTTTATCACTCTTGGCAAAGAAGTGCTCTGAAATTCAAGAAAAGAAAAAAAAATGGTGCCAGGAGAAGCAGGTCCAAGTAGAAGTTGTTTGGAGGCAGCAGGCTCAAGGTGGTAGTTCAAGTTAGATATTAGGGAATATGTTAAAACTATAATGATAATCTCATTTAATTTACTGCCATTATCTAGTTTATATTAAATGATTTCATCTTTGGCTGCTGTTGTTACTCTCAAGTAAACTTAGTTTCAAGGTTCTTGCTCTGTTGCCTTTGAAGAGTTTGTGGCAGTCTGTGATCTTTACATCTGCTGTCTTCCATGTTTTCCAAGGTTTCCTGTCTTTGGAAATGAGCTGTGGTAAAATGGGCAATGTGCTCTAACAGGTCACACTCTTAAACTGTCATAGGAATTGTCTTTTTTTTGTCAAGAAATGACAATTTATCAAAGTGGCTGAGAATCTGCAATAGTGTATTTTGCAGTAAAACCAGAATTATTAATATGTAAACTAACATGGGAAAGGGATTGTAATGTACCAATATAATAGTGTTAGGAGCAATGTTTCATCTCTTGGTTTTATCACTTAGATCCTTTTATATTGAGGGAAGTGTTATTGAGGCAGAACAGCTTTTTTTTCTTTTCTTTATTAACTAATTGTCTAATTACTGGAAGTCTTGTCCCTTTGGTGTAGAAGGCTATTTTAGTAAGAAAACAATTAGCAGGTGAAAGAACAATATAGGACAAGGAGAAAGGAACTCTTGACTGAAAGTAAAACTTGAGTAGTTACTTGTGATTTAGAGTATCTTTATGGAGAAGAACCTGGTGTCTTCATGCTTGAGTTATCTAAACTTTTAAGTTATTTAATGTAATAGTTATAATAGCAACATTATGATCAAGGGTTTGTTTTTTTTCTCAAATCATTATGCAAATCCATTATGCCTAATATATTGCATTTAAAATTATTTGAATTCATAAAGATCAAACTTAGCATGTGGATTTTTACTCTTTATCTTTGCACTCTTGCCTTGCAGACCACCGAGGCTGATGGGTGAAGGTTTTGTTGTAATGCAGTCCAATGATGTTGATATCTATTACTACATGGATGAACCAGGTACAATCTGTTAAATACAAATAGAGTTTATTTTTTTTTAATGGGGGAAAAAAAATCTTTGTGCTAAGAGAGTTAATGCAGTGGTTTGGACCCAATAGAAGTATCATAAATATTCTTTTGGTCTGACTACCCTTAAAGTATTCCCTGAGTCTTTAACAAAGACAGCACATTTGGTAATGGTGTGTACAGGTATAAGGATAGGTGGCAATTTTGGATCATTTTTTGGTCATATTTCTTGGCCTTCCACTGGAAGTCTGCAATGAATTGTGTCTTGGTTTTTACATACTGTAGTGCTCTCAAATAAAACTGACATCAGGACACTTTGTCCTGTGCTTAAGCAGACATTTCTCATGCCAATTTGAAACAACTTCCTTTAATAATGTGGTTTATTATTTTATGTAATACAGGTCTTGTACCAGAGGAGACAGAGGAAAGCAATGATGGAGAAGCCAGCAATGAAGACAGCAAATTACAGGACCTGCCACCATGCTGGGGCTTGGACATTGTGTGTGGAAAAGGGACAGACTTCAACTATGGGCCTTGGGCTGATAGGCAGAGGTATGACCGTGATCTACAGCTTCCATCTTCATGTCCAGAATTACTGAGAAAGCTTTCTTCAAGTTTCCTTTGTGTGATTGCTCAGACTTCTCATTTGTGTGTTTTAGGGTAGACCAAGTCTGAAAGAAGAGTCCTGCCACAATGGTTTAAGATTTAGTAAATTTGCTGGTGTTTAGCTTGCTGGCCTTCCAAAGTTAGGATTACTCTCATCATTAAGTTAATACATTATGTTTCCTTTTTGTAAGCAAAGTATTTTTACTGTTTATCAGTGTCATATACCCAAAGGCTGAACTTGTTAAGTGGTGATCTTTAGGTTTATCAAGCTCCTGTTAGCTAATATGGGAATAAACTGCATATTAATGAGGAGATTTTAGGGAAGCAGAAATCTGGCTATGAAAATAATGAGGGAGGAATAATTTATTACTTCTTAGCATAATCAGCTGCTTGCTGTTATCTCCAAAGTATTTATTATCTAGTTATTTTAATACAAAATTCTAGGCTAGAGTTCTGCTGTTCTTCACTTGGCCCTGGATGTTTTGCACATGAGCATTTCTAGTGAGGACAATAGGATTGTTTAGGGAGTAAAGGACTATTAAGCAAAAGTGACATAATCAGTGCTTTCCATTTTTTCCCCTGTTAATTACAGGCTGGTACTTGGCCTTCACTAATTCTCCTGTGAAACTGTTATGATTTACTGTCTCTCAGGAGTGTGAGGATGGCAGCCCAAAGAGTAGTCATTAGATATGATAGTGCATTTAAGAGAAAATGTCTCTTTTTAGATCCCTTTGCTAGAAATACGAGGTCAGTGAATCACTAATGAGACTCTTAATACTCCAAAGCAAGCTTGCCCTATAATGGAATGCTTTTTATAATCTTAACTGGCTCAGTAGAAAGCAGATTAGTGCACAGAGTTCCTAGATACATACCAGGAACAATTGTGCATCTTGCTTTGGGTAGATCACAGAAGTTTGGAGACTTTTAAGCTGCTACAGCAGCCAGGTGCTGGGTACAGGAAGGAATTCCACCTCCTTGAGACCTCTGTAAGTTCTATCTGTGCTTCATCACTCTGCCTTTCTTGTCATGTATTTCATGGCATGTTCAGCTATAAATCTGTAGAAATGTGGTTTCCATTCTGAGGTCCTAAAGCTTTGTGTTTTCTTTATTTCTGTGCTTACATCAATTATTTATGCACAAACTGAAGAATAATTAGATGATGTCCTATTGTAGCAGATTTTGTAAACCAAGGATTAGAAATTAGAAGAAAAAGATGGTTTGTTTGCCTTCTGAATTAAAATTCATGGTTTTTGTCCAAAAGGTAATTTCTTGTCATTGACACTTTTGGAGATTTCAATAATGAGTTGGAAGGCTCCCATGATGAAGATTTTCACAAACATTCTTCCTTATCCCATCCACTGTCTAAAGACTCATCTAAGAGGAAGACAGTTAAATGAACCATGTAGATACACAAATAAACAATATATTTCTCTGTCAACAAAAAACAACTCTTTTTTTCCTTCTTCTGTCCCACTAGGGATTGCTTGTGGAAGTTTTTCTTCCCACCAGACTACCAAGTTATGAAAGTTTCAGAAATCGCTCAGCCAGGGAAACCAAGACAGATCCTTGCATTTGAACTGCGGATGAATATCATTGCAGATGCCACCATTGATTTGCTTTTTACCAAGAACAGGGTAAATAATGAAAGCTTATCAAGAAATTAACTTTGTCTTCTGTGGTTGCACTGTGCATTTTGGTTGTGTACAGTTTTACTTGTCTCAGGTGTTTATTACAGAGCTATGGTTTTAAAATCTGGGTGATTTTTGTCAGAGTTTTTTATAATTATGAGCAAACCCTTCAAAGAGAAGTGTATTCTGAGAGGCATTACTTTCTTTTAAGCTTTAAAGGTACATCTTAAGCCATGCTAGCTCCTACAGTCTTGAGGTTTCACAATCTGGACATGTCCTGTGCAATCTAAATTCTGATGAAGCTCACCATGATGATAGATGACAAAACAATTCCTTCTGATATTGAATGAAGAGATGATACTGGGGGGAACCAAACTTGCATGTGGAGGAATTTGGATTTTTCTTCTTGTTGCTACTCTTCTAAATGGGATACAGCATCACTTCGTTGTACACCTGTTTTGTTCTTTTCTGGGGGCTGAAAGGGTTAGAATTGTAGTGTTAGAAATATATATTAGTCTGCCCTCCCAGGCCTTGGAGCAGAGTATTTTATGCTGTTTTTCTAACTGGACTTCAGTCAGCATTTGTTAAGCCTAAAAACTGTTATTTTGTATAAATGCATATTGCTAGTTCATTAGTGATTTTTCTGAAGGCAAGAAAGACTTGAATCATCAGGTGCTTTAGTCCAGGTGTGGGTAGTGACAGCCAGAGGCATAAATAAACCTAGAAATCATGTTTGGACTGTTCTGCTTTTTTGCAATGCAGGAAACGAATGCTGTACATGTCAATGTTGGTGCAGGATCCTATTTGGAAATAAACATTCCCATGACAGTGGGTGAAAATGGTGAGTTAAGGCTAAGACTGACTTTTTTTTTTTCCCTACTGTTTTTCCTGAATAGTTATCTTAATTCCTGTGTGTGTGAATGTCTCTTAGTGTTTTTCTTTTGTCATCTTGTGATATATATTCCTAAGGAAAGGAACAAAAATACTTCCTTGTACAGTTCACTGCAAGATATTAGGGCAAATATTGATCAGGATACTTCTTGATAGTGGACTGCTGAAATTACTGATAAAAATGGTTTAACTATTGGTGTAAGTCTTGTGTCTGAATGATAATTTGCTAACTTTTGTTTGCCAGGCTACTCACCTACAATTAAAGGGCAGCTCCTCCATGTGGATGCCACCAGCAGCATGCAGTACAGGACTCTCTTGGAAGCAGAAATGCTGGCTGTAAGTGTGCATTAATGAGCACAAAGCTTCAGATTCTATAGGATTTTTAGTAAAGAACATATTTATTGTTCTGTAGAGCAGTCTTTAGTTGCTTAATGCAGGAAAATGCCTTTTTAATGTGTTTTGCAAGACCTTAATATCTAAGGAATTTCTATATACTGACATAACTGTGCACCCGTGCAACCTTTAGTGATTTAAAAAGCACTAACTTGGTGTATAAATTATATATTTACTAATGTTACCTCATTTACTATGTAGCCACGTGTTCATACACCTTTGCCTAAATAAATGATTGCACTCACTAGCTCTGCTAAAGGGTGTGTGTGCACAAATACTTAAAAGCACTCAAGTGTGCTTGAACGACTTGAGGCAGATTCAATACTGCATTATTCTTTTGTTTACCTAATATTTCACTTCTGCAGTACTGTGATTGTGTGGATTACCCTTCTTACTGGTTTGTAAATGATCTTATTCAAGTGATGTTTTTCATGTTTGAATTTGAACAATGCATCGATGGTTGCAAATATTCTATTCTAGGGCATTTTCTTTTGGTGTATTGTGAAAAGTGATGCTTTTGATGAAAACTTTGCTTTTTAAATTGCTTTGTACATGTACAGCAGCAGATGTATCTGAAACTCAGAGTACACCTTAGCAAATAAATGAATACACTAACACTTGACCTTCAAACACAGAAGGAGAGACAGAGATTAAATTATTAAGGAACTGGAAGGACCTTCTGTTCATCCCAGCAGGAAAACAGTTTTAATTATTCAGCAGGGTACATATGTGAAAACTGCTGAGAGACAGGGTCGGGCATTGTCACCTTTTCAGGTAATCCTGATGCTTTAATTTCTTGTCCACAGTTCCATATTAATGCCAGCTATCCCCGGATATGGAACATGCCACAGACATGGCAGTGTGAGCTGGAGGTTTATAAAGCCACCTATCATTTCATCTTTGCTCAGAAGAGTTTCTTTACAGGTAAGCTCTTTGATAAATATATGACATGTCAAATTAAATATTCTTTGTTTTGGGATTTCTTTTCAAATTTTACTGACTTGTGCAAGGTTCTCTGATTTCGTGTATTTAAGGCAACAAATTGTTCCTGAGGACAGAGTTCCTGATGCCTAGAGAATGTCCAAGCACATGATAATCTTACATTTGAGGAGAAATACAAATGATTTAGTTTACTAATATCTAAATAAATTTGATTTGCAGTTGAGTGATCCTAAATTTATTTCTTACCAGAACTCTTATCACAGCTACTGATTTGCTTAATACTTGTCACCCATAATGTTGATTTCTCTTGATATCTCTTTGCTTGGCTCATTTTCAACTACTTGGGCTTTGGATTGTGTCCCTGTGGCTGACAGATGATGAGGAAAAATAATTTATTCCTCAGAATTCTGGCTGTGAGGAAGAAGGCAATGCAAGCTGGTACAGCACCACCCAACTGTTGCTGGAAGCTCCAGCTGCAGTCATGGAAAGAATACATCCCCATCACTGTGGTGCTGCCTGGGCTAATTAGCCCTGCTGGGAGGAATGTTTAATTAGTGCAGGCATGGTGCCACGCTAATGAAGTTATCCCCTGAGTGAGGCCATTGTGTGGGTAGTGCTGTGGTCAGAGCAAACATCCATTTATCCAACACAAAAATGCCAAGAAATCACTCACCTGATACTAACTCACCTTTTATTGCTTGGTGTGGGTCTAGATTTGATCCAAGACTGGTCCAGTGACAGCGCACCTGATATTTTTTCATTTGTTCCATATATGTGGAACTTCAAAATCATGTTCCATCAGTTTGAAATGATCTGGGCAGCAAATCAACACAACTGGATTGACTGTTCCACCAAACAACAGGAGAATGGTGAGATCACTTTTTTAATTTGGAAGAAGTAGCATATACAACTAAAGCATCAACAAAATACTGTGTATATAAATGTATACAGAAAGTCCTAGAATTACATCCAAAACCTGGTGGGTAAAGAAAAGCACCAAGATATTACAGTTATTTTTATTGTTTGCCTGCAATTTCCTTGTGCTAAGTACAGTGTCTTTCTAGGTAGTAAATACTTTCAGAATAATTGATTACAGTGATTTATTACTCCAAGTACAGTGTAGTTAAATAGCAATATTCTGTGTTATGAGTTCTTTAATATCTTTGAATAATTTCTACCTGTATTTTTGGTATTTCGTCTAAGAACAAAATAGGGAGTAATTTTGATAAATTTTTGTTTGTTTTTCCTTTTCCCTCCCAGTTTATCTAGCAGCTTGTGGAGAAACCCTGAACATTGTTTTTTCTCTGCCTTTCACTGACTTTGTTCCAACCATATGCAATACTAGATTCTCCTTAAGGGTAAGATCTTCTGTCTTGTATATGTGAGAACTCTTCCCTTACCTTCTTGAATCAGGAAATTTTGAATTAACTCTTTCCTGAAAGGAAAATAGTCTTTTACACTTCCAGTTCATAGAATTTTTCTTTAAGCAACCCAGAGGTAAATGGTTTCAGTTTGCTTGTGTGAGGCATTTAATCATAGGCTGTTTTAATTTATATATACATATATACACAAAAATGAAAATATTTCTGAAAAATACAAATATGCATATGCTTCACACAGACATATAGATACACATTTAGTATGTATATTTATTATATATACTTCAGTTGTGTGTGTGTATGTGTTTTATCACTTGGAATTCTGTTCCTCTTTATTTATGAAATGGCAAAATCTAATGTGTGTTCAAAGATAGAACTGGCTACCCTGAAACCATTTTGGAAAGCCATCTTCTAGATTTTTCAAAGGTTCTGTAGCATAAATAATGGTCATAAAGTGGTTTTAACACATACACATAGTTCTTTGAATTACTGTGCTTTTTGTCAGCCTTAAAATAGAACCTGTCTACTGCTGCTAAAAATAAACTAGTTGATGCTAATGTTGCTCATTTGGCATAATTTGATAGCAAAGAAATCAATGTTTTATAGGTTTCTTTCTTTTTAAAGTGTGATTTAGTTGAGATGTGGAGTCTGCTTGGTTTAGTTATTTAATTTCTGCAGTATGCTTTGAACAACAGAAGAACAAGGATCACTAAAAGCTGTCCTGTATTTTATAGATTGCTCTGATTATGTGCAAGTTATTGGACTTGTAAGCATTCAGAACTGTAGAGCTCTTGGGATTTTACTTAAAACTTGGTGGGAAACAGATTTCTTGTCTATTTTTGCCTTCAAAAGGAAGATGATGGCACGTACCAACATGAAAATAGCATGAGCATTATGCATAAAGTGAATGTAAATTAACTTTCCTGTTGCTGATGTTTGATTTTTAGGGAGAAGATGTTGATCTTCATTTGTATCTGCCTGACTGCCATCCTAGTAAATATTCCCTTTTTATGCTGGTAAAAGATTGTCAGCCCAGTAAAATAAGTCCTGAGTCTTGTATTTCTGCAGAATGTCAAAGTGGGCAGAAAACGGGCAAGCCCAAATGGAGGAACATTACTCAAGAAGAGTGAGTTTTATTGAGATATTTATATATATATTTCTATCTTTATGTTGACTCTACTAATTTATTTATGATTCATGAACTTTTGAGGTTGCTTTAAAGATATTTCAAGGAAATATTGTGCTTGAAATAAAAAAGGGTGCTGTTTCTTTTTGAAAGGGCTGGATGGGTTGAATGCTGGACAGTCCCAAGTGTTGTGTTCACAATTGACTACTCCTGGCACCCCATCTATCCTCAGAAGGCAGATGAGCAGTTAAAGCAATCCTGTAAGTGTCACTACCTTTTCCTTGTTAGCATGGCTCATTTGGGAAGCTCTTGGGACTTTGGATCACGCTGCTTCCATCTGCAGAGATGAACTTGGAACTGAATTGCTGTTTTATGTCTCAAGGGGATGTGTTGATCATTAGAATGCACTGGGATTGATTTAAAATCTGACAACATTCCATGCTGCTACATTTCAGGATGTGTCCCAGTTCCTTGTGTAAAAAAGAGAATACTGTCTGCAGTTCACTTCTTGTCCTTAACAAAGTGGATCTCTTAAATGGGTTGTTGAACAAGAGAAAATATCACTTGGTATATTAAATAGGAAGAGCAATATTTTTGGCCATATCATGTTCACTGTTCACTGTTAAAGTGAACCATCAGAAATTAGTGTTGGACTGGTCAGTCAAATTCTAATATCTAAGAATTTATTTTAACTTAACTGTCTAGATATTTCTAGATAACAAATATCCTATAAGCATGTGCTTGCAAAAAAAAAGGTTATAAACACATAGATTAAAGTAAGTTAATTTAAATGCAGAGAGAGATATGCAGGAAGTTATGGGGTTACATAAAACTCTTTCAGGTTGAGATTCTAGAAGCAAAACTGGTGGAGGAGAGATGTTAGAAGAATAATGAGGGCTAATTTGAAAGGGCCACAATCAGCAGGTGTTAGAAGACATGCTGGATGGCATTTTTGGGGTTTGAGTTCCAACAATTAACATCTAAAAAAGAACTCTGATTTGCGAGGACGAAGCAGAAAAGGTGAGATTGATTTTGCAGATGCTCATTAAGTGCTCTTGTGAGACTGTCAGCTTGTGTCAAATATGCATTCTTCACATTCTGAGAACATTTCCTGGTAATTGTAGCAATTGAAATCTGCATTTGCAAGTTTGTGCATACACAGGTAATTCATCTTCAGCTTCCTCCAGTGGTGAATTCAGCAGTCCACCTCACTCCCACTCCATGGTGCTGATGGAATCTGTTAGCTGCAGTAGCAACATCTGTATTTTATTTTGAGTCTGTCCATAAAACTCTGAGAAATAAGTTGCATTACAAAAGATGTAGTTTCCATAAAAAGTGCTCATCTCACTGCAGCATTTGGCTGATGTATAACTCATCAGATGGTGCAAGCATTGAGCAAGAACTGTAGACAATAATGGGGAGTTCAAGCCTTGGAGGTTTCTGGCTGCAGGTGTCTCTAGTTCTGTATGTGCCAGTTCTTCCCATTAAACTCACACCTGAAATCTTCCTCCAGCTGGAGCATCAATTTTTGATGGTTTTCTCATGGAGTTCTCTACTCCCCAGCAATCAATTCACATCCTCAAAACACTTCCAGTTGCTCCCTACATTCTCATTGCCTCTCCTCACTTCAGACAGACAGTTTTTGGGCTCTGTTCTTCCTAAATCCAGCTAGGAAGAACAGATAGGAATTAAGATTTGAATTTGTAAACTTTCTTGTGGCTAGAGTAATTGAGTGGTTGGAGACAAAATTTTGACCTACAGAGCTACTAATTCAGAAAAGTTTTTTGGTACAACTTTGCACTTTGCATGTTTATTCTCTCTTGTTTATCCTGTAGTAGCTGTGTGGTTGTGGGAAATCTGCTCTGCTGAAATGAAAGCATGTCTCTGTTTAACTTCAAAAGCAAGATAAATACACTGAATACTGTTTTTCAGAACTTGTGGGATTTTTTTTTCTCTTGAATAATTAACATTGACTAAAATAGTTGATATTTTCTTCTCTTCCCATAGTTACTAGATATGAAAAATCAGTTCTGTAGCATAGACACACTAATGTAACTATACAAGTTTGGTGCCAAAAGCTGTATATTTTATACACATTCCTGTTTACTAAACTTTGTCCAACAGAAGCCTAAATTGTAATCAAAATCTCTTTTCTCCTTTTAATTTACTCCCAAGTGTCAGAAATGGAAGAAACCATGTTATCTGTGCTGAGGCCATCCCAGAAAACCACGGACAGTGTGATTTCATCTCCCACAACTTCCACCCGCCTTCCCCTCGACCCCTCGGAGCTGCCCCCGGATAAGCTCCACGTGGAGCTGGAACTCTCCCCAGATTCCCAGATAACCCTGTATGGACCCTTGCTCAAAGCCTTTCTCTCCATAAAGGTAGGCACAGGAGAATGACTCATAAAATTTACAGGTGGCCCCATAAATTTTCCCTTGTAGGAAAGGGAAAGAATTAGTTTTGAAATGGAAAATTCGAATTCTGAAGACCTTTGGTAAGCAGTAGTTGTAGTTTAGAATTATTTTGGTGATCTGGTAAAGCTGGGTAGAATTTTGTCACAGGCTTGTGAGAAGACTTCTTACATATACACACATATATATGCACCAATATCAGTGTAATTTTTCTTTCAAAAAATACTGCCTGTTCTGGACATGTGCAGAATATTTCTTCTTTCAGTTTTCCACTAGTAAATTAAAAAAATATTCCATGATTATAACTAGAGCTTATCTAAACTCCAATTTTTATGCTAAGTTATACCAGAACCCATGCTTTTGGTGCATTTAAGTTCTGCAGTGTGTTGTTTTTCTTACTTAGATTCCATGACATTTCTGGAGTTAGGATCATAGAGATGACTGGGGAAGGACATGAGAACAAGATTAATTTAAAAAGCTTCTTCAATAAATATTGCAGAGGGATTATGCATCCTTTTCTTGACATTATTCTATTATGCTTTAGAATGTGTGTTTATTTTCTTTGCTGTCTTCTCTTCTATGACTGAATTTTTTTATTTAGGGTGTCTAAGTTTAATTCCTTCCCATCTCCCTCACCCTCCCTTGTGGTGGCAAAAGCCAAGGCAGTTGAATGTGTCAATTCTGTTTGACTAAGAGCAAAATGAATGGAGTTGGGTTGATTTTTGTGGTTGGTTTTTTTTTTGTGTGTGTGTGTGGTTTTGGGTGGTTTTTTTTTGGTGGGTTTTTGCTTTTTTGTTTTTTCCTGAACATCTCTTTCAACTTGTGCAGATCTCTAGGCTAAGGTAATGCTTCTGGAGGCTGGCATTTTGGAGTAGAGGTTGAGGAATTTTCTGAGACAGGTGATCGATATCAGGACTCACTGAAAGTCATTCTCATGAATTTCTATAAGGTATAGCATGTAAGCAAGGAATAGCAGAAAATGCTGTTTTGTAGACTATAAGGCTTGCAAATATCCTCATTATTTTTTTCATGTTGTCAATAAAATAAATAGGATTAAAATTAGGCCAGTACTACATCTTGAAGACTTGACTTCTGGTACAGACCAAATGAAGCCATGCTTGAATTGTTTATTGAACCCTCTTTTTGGAGCCCATAAATCTGTGAGAGAGTTGTGGCTTTTCAAGCAAAGCAGCAGCTTTTCAGTGCTTTTTGCCTCTGGAGGTAAATGCCAACAGTGCTACATTAGATCCCTGATTCTATAGTGATTTCATTTTTAGGTGCAGATTTCTCACATGAAATTTAGCTTTTCTATTCTAATTCTCAAGAGAGATTTTAGGTTAATAGGTTGTTTATGGAAATGTGCATTTATTGCTCTTTTTTAGCATTTTTGTGATTCTGTTTACAACTTTTTGTCCAGCTGTGCTGGGGCCATCTCTTGAAAGATTTCTAGGAGGGTTTTTTTGGTTTTTTTTAATATTTGTTTTCCTGACTTGTGGTTCTTTTTCATTTGTTTTCATTGATCTTTTTTTTAAATTCATGGTGTAGAGAGATCCCTGGTCACACATTGTCCATGCAGCTTAGTTAAGCCTTCTAATCTTGGGAGGTAGTTTTTTTGGTGTAGCACACCCTGCTAAGGGTTTCCTGTCTGGAAATGAATGATTTATAGGTCCTGGCATTCACAGCAGGAGTTGTCAGGAGTGAGTTACTGGAGCTCCTACCACCCTCTGCTGGGTCTGCCTTATTAAAAATCACTGTAAGAAAATTCTTCTTGAGAGTTTAGCTTCCCTTTTAAGGGAGAAGATGTAATAAATTGTGAGAAACTGATGGATTTTCTGTTTCCCAGTAGAATTTGGCAGTGTTACTTTGGGCTTAGATAGCTGAAGAGGATTTGCTTAGGCACAATGGCATTTTAGACCCAGGCAAGAAATGTTTATGACATAATATTGTAGAAGCATGCTGAAGATTTTTAAGCTTGCTGAAAAAAAAAAAGTTCAGAAAGTTGGATGAGGGTGACTTCCTGCAGGATGTGTTTTGTGTTCTTACTCTGTTATGTATCTTGAAAAGCACAAAACCTGTTTAAAAATGTCCATAATAATATTTCAGAACAGTTACTTGTGTTGCATGTGTCTCAAATACAGTACTGTGAGACCTACTGAGCTGCCTTCATTTTCTGCAAAGCACAATGCCTAAATTTGCACATTTAAGCTATCCAGTTTTCATAAAATAAAACTGTCTATGTTACTTTTATAGCTATACCACTTATTTTAGGGAAGATTAAAACCAGAAGATTTGATTTGTATTTCAGTTCATTGCCTGCATGTTTTTCATTTGCTTTCTGTATGATCATAGCAATTATTTTTCCTAGGAAAATTATTTTGGAGAAGATGACATGTACACTGATTTTGAAGAGGTTATTTCAAGCCCTGTTTTGTCCCTGTCAACCTCCTCAAGCTCAGGCTGGACAGCTGTAGGAGTGGAAAATGACAAAAAAGAAAATGATATTTCAGTCAAGCCCGTTCACCCTCTTACTTTACGCCCCTGGGATATCACTGTGCTTGTTAATTTGTACAAAGTGCATGGGAGATTGCCAGTGGTAAGTGCTTTATAATCATAAAAGAATTTGCTCCATGTAATTTTTTTTTTTTTTTTTTTTTTAGTTTCTTAGTCTGGTCCACATTTAACTGCCTGGAACATTTAGTTGCTGTGGTGCTTACCAAAATGTGTAGATATTCTCTGCTGAAACTGTGGCTATCTAAACAACTTTGAGAGAAGATTTATTTTGCTTATTTGGGAGGCAGAACTGGATAATTTTTTAGTATGTTTGTTATTCCCAGAACTTGATTTGTGTGATATTTTTGATTGACCATTATGATTTCTCTGCTGATCAGCAAATATTTCTTATAATGGTGCAGTCTGCTCTGTGCTCCTGAGTTCTGAGAGAACCCCAGGAAAAAAAATCCAGATAAAACATTGGGTTCACCCAAATCTTTTTGAATTGCTGTTTATGCAGTTGTCAAAAGGTTTTTGAAGTCACACAGACTTCTTTTTGAGTATCTCCTAAGAGGAAAATCAGCATACTTCCTGCTCACAGGTTTGCATCTAACAGTAAAGTTTCAACCATGTTGTGTGCTTTCAGGTTCTGAAACAGATGTGTTTATTTTTTATTTCAGCATTGCAGTCCAGATGGTCCAGAGTGCCCTACAGCTTTCTTGGAGAGGCTGTGTTTTGAGATGAAGAAAGGATTTAGAGAAACAATGCTTCAGCTTGTACTGTCTCCAGTGAATCTGTTTCTTAATGACAATTATCAGGTAGTCAGGCAGTGTTTGTGTGGCTGTGTTGTGCAAGTTATGTTGATTTTAAAATTGAATTCTTTTTTGGTAGGAATTTTCCTGTTGTGCAAAGGTTTCATTAAAGCTTGCCAATCATAAGAAAAACCTGATGTGTATTTTCTAAAATATTTTTTTCTTTTCATCCAGATATTTTTATCATTTTGTCAGTAAAATAAATGGGATTCAATCAGGCCAGTGTTGCATCTTTTCCAAGAATTGCCTCCCCTTTTCTTGTCCTTTGCAGCGCCCTGCAGTGGACGAGGTGCTCCGGGAGGGTCACATCAGCCTGTCGGGCCTGCAGCTCCGTGCCCACGCCATGTTCTCTGCAGAAGGGCTGCCCCTGGGAAGTGACACTTTGGAATATGCCTGGCTGATAGATGTGCAGGCTGGAAGCCTCACAGCCAAAGTGACAGCACCACAGGTACCATCTGGGAACCATGCTGAAGTATTGAAGTGTTACCCTTCTTCTTCCTTCTGAAACTGGCGTAGCGTGGCTTTCTGGAAAGCGACTTAAGTCACCTTTATAGTTTTAAAATCTAATCATTTCTGTAAAGGGACAGGAGATGCCAAATGAGCTATTGTCACAGTCATATTTTAAAGTAAGAGGCAAATGAGATGATTTGTGGGAGTAGCTCAGGAGTAGCTGCTCACTGTATAAATTCTGCTCCTTGGTCCCACTGGAACAGAGTTTGCTTTCCCAGTATTGCACTTTGTTAGGTCAGTCTTAGCACTAACCCCTTTTAATTTTGCCATTTATGTTACATTTGTCTTTCCACTTAGGTGAATGGCTCCAAGTATTAAACAGGCAGATCTTTTTGATTTATTTCTGCTGTGGTCTGCCAGATCTTTAAAGAAGGCTTTCTTTGCCAGTGTATTCTGAGGCACAAGAAAAGTACATACATTCTATGTAGTAGTTACTATTTGCTTTAATTATTTTTAATTTTTTAAGACACTTCAACATCATCTTGTTCCTCTAAAAACTGGTATTCTAGGATTAAGCACGTATTTCTTTGAGAGACTTCTGCAGCAAATAAAATAAGGCATACAAGCAAGTTTAGTAAATCTAAAGAATAGACCTTTTCTTCCTACATGTTTGTGGTGGTACTTCCCAAAATGCTGCCTATGATTTAGGATTTGTTCCACTTCTCTATAGTTCAAATTAAACTTAGTGGATTCAAAGTACTTCAAGGTTCAAGAACATTTCTTAAGGCTTAATGCAACCAAGGATTTTCTTCCCTTTTAAAGCCATTCTCAATTGTGTGCATCACACATGGTTTTGTTTTTTTAGTTGTCAGCACTTGAATTTGCTGTTTCAGGTTCACTGGCTTTTTTCCTTCCACAGTGTGATGCATTGCAAGAATTTGTGAAGGGACTACGCTGAGCAGAGGAGCAGAGATTTTGTGCAGGACAGTCATAGCTAGATTAAATTCCATGCAAATTACTGCTGATTTTAAGTGCCCTTTCCTTTGGCAAGCCAAAGAAAACCCATTTTCCTCTCATAACAGAGGCAGACAGTCATGAATCATTTCCTTTATGAGCGAGCTAACTATATAAAAGACTTAAATCAACAATAGGCTAATTACCAGGTCTAGCAAGAATCAGCAGTGTTTTGTTGAGCCAGTTTCCTCCTGTGCTATCTAAATGTAACTTTGTTGCTTTTATAGAAGCAAATCTGACATTTAAATTATGAATGGTAATGAAGTACCATGAGTTATTCTTTGTGGTAAAGGTGGGGGAGCTCTCTCTTTACAATGAAGTTCTCAGCTGACTGTAAGAGCAAAAGCTGCTTCCTTTTATTAAGAAATTATTTAGAAAATTGTTTAATGTCACCGTGCTTTTCCATGAAAAAGTGCAGACTTGGATGTTGTGATGCAGGAAGGTGCTGCAGCCAGGAGGGTGTGCTGAGATGTCCTGCTCACATCCCAGCCCTTGGGATTGTTCTCTGTGGACCAGCACAAGTCCATCTTGTGAGGGTGCTGATGGACAGTGTGCTGTTGTTTGCTTGCAGCTTGCCTGTCTTCTGGAGTGGGGGCAGACCTTTGTGTTCCACGTGGTGTGCCGGGAGTTTGAGCTGGAGAGGCCCAAATCCGTCGTCCTGTGCCAGCACGGCATCGATCGCCGCTTTTGTGACCCAAAGGTATTTTCCATCCATCCCTGCTGCTCACTGGGCATGCACAGGTTCTCTGCAACACCTCCCAAATCCACCCTTAACCTTACCAGAACATGAATAAAAGGATCAGCACAAATTAAACTCCTAATAGATGTTTATATATATATATATTTTTCCTTTATTGTTGCTTTTCCCTTTTCCTTCAGACCAACTCTGTGCCTGGGCCATGCCCAACATCAGATGACTTAAAGTACACGATGACACGCTTAGCCATGGATGGAGCAGATCTGTATGTGGTAGAACATGGCTGTGCAACCAATATCAAGGTAAATTATTTCTCTTAGCAGCAATTAAAATACTTTTTAAGTAGAGATATTTGTATTTTTTTGAGAGGCTATCTGCCTGAATTGCTGGCTTGCTTGCATGCAAAGGATTAAGCAGAAATTCTAAAACTTTTAAGTGATAAAAGTTCATCATGGACTGGGCCAGGAATAGGTGAATTTGGCTTCTACTTAATAATTCCATTAATTATGTTGGCAAATGGTAAGGAGGAGTATGTGTCTCCCCCAAAAAAGTGGAAGCTGCAGGGTTGGTGTAAAATAATTTACAACACTCTGGGCAATATAAATCTCCGTGTTTGTACCTGAGAGTTGATAAGAACTTGTGTTGTGAATTAATAATTCAGCAAATGGAAATGATGGATATGGATCATGTACAAGTCAGTGGTGGATAGCTCATGATCCTTTAGTGTGAATTGAGATGTATCTTTGGTAAAGAAGTGTTTGTGCCATTGCCTGAGTGAATCCTCTGTTCAGAAAGGGCTATGCAGAGAAGAGCTGATATCCCTCCATTATCCTACTGCACAGGAAAAAAAGGAATAATTTATTCAGCATAGCAAAACATAAGTTTAGATACAGATTGAGTTATGGTAGCAACAGAAAAGAAGCTAACTGCCATGCTGACATAACTGAGTAGTAATTGTGCTGTTAGTTAATAAATGCATTTTTAAATGGTAGACTTAAAATTAAAAGTTTTGGGTACAGCTTCATATGATGAGCAAGAACCTAACTAAAGGGCACTGGTAATTATTTTAAACATTTTTTTAATGCCGTGGTATGTCATCATTTGAATGGCTTGCTGCCCTGTGGCAGTAAAAAAATACGTTTGAGCCTCCAAATTCTTTTGAATCCAATATTAAAAAGCACCATCATAAATATTAACAGTGTCTGCAGGCATAAATATGAATGGCAGTATTTTCAAAGGCAGCTTAATAACCTGAACCACTCTAGAAAATTATATCCTGAATGTGTTTCATTCAAATTTTTATATTAAAAAAAAAAAGGTTTCCAGTGGTCCTTTATAATCTGTGACAGAGATGAGAAACAAAAATTTAATATTAACCCTGTGGGTAGCTGTTCTGTGGCTGGGTTATCTTTCAGCTTTTTTTGGTTTAGAGTTGGAAAACTCCATCTGCAATTTCAGGTGCTTCATGGTGACATTTGGGAGAGGACTCAAGGTGTGCAGGAAACTTGATCTGATGTCTTCAGATTATATGAAGTTTGAAGACTAAACAACTGTGAAAGCTTCAAATTTTTTGGGTTTTAGATGACAGCAAAGAAGTTACTGATATAAGTTTTTTGAAGTTTCATGGCATCTATTGTCAGTTGTTTTCTGTTCTGATCTGTTTACAAAAGGATGCTTCTGAATCCGTGTTTTTTTCAGATGGGTGCCATACGCATTGCAAACTGCAACCTCCACAACCAGTCTGTCGGGGAGGGCATCAGCGCCGCCATCCAGGACCTGCAGCTCAGGCAGTACGTCGAGCAGGTGAACAACTGCAGAACTGGCCTGCAGCCAATACTCAGGAGGGCATACTGGCTGGAAGCTGGCTCTGTCAACCTGGGCCTCATCACTGCTGACATTGCTTTGGCTGCAGATCATCCTGCCAAACACGAGGTGCAGAGGCATTTCTTGGAAACGCATGATAACCGAACCAAGAGGTGAGCGATGCGCTCGAGGGGGATGTTTGTTCATCTTGCTTTCACTGAGCTTCAGCATGGTCACGTTTTTGGGTTGTTTTCTGCTCTTCTTCTTTTTGTAGGTTGTGGTTTTTGTGGCCTGATGATAATTTGAGAAATAAGAGAAGCAAGAACAAGTGTGGCTGTCTCGGTGGTTGTCGATTCTTCGGTGGCACCTTAACGGGACTGGATTTTTTCAAACTTGAGGAACTGACACCTTCAAGCAGCTCTGCTTTCTCAAGCACGAGTGCAGAATCTGATATGTTTTATGGGCAGTCTTTACTGCAGCCAGGAGAATGGATAATCACTAAGGAGATTCCTAAAATTTTAGATGGTGAGAATGCACTGTACTGTATTTTTACTCTATTTTGCCCAAAAATATAATTTCTTAACGTTTTGCTATTTGTAGTCCTTATGATTCTGATTAATAAGTACAACTGCTTGTGCTCTTGGCCTGACCCCTTCTAAGAGCAAATAGAGCTTGAGCAAGCTTTCACATGCTGGATTTTTATATTAGCATGCACCTCCTTTCTGAGTAAAAAGGAGATTTTTGATTTGTTCTACTTGTTTGTATAGAAATTAGCCAACTGAGACAATCTGATGTTTTGCTGACATGATTTCGTTAATTTTTGTCGGGGCAACATACTAGTATGTGCATGCATTTCAAAACTAGGGCTTTTATTTAATAATGATTTTTATTTCAGTAGGCAGGGAAGACTCCACTGCATTTGTGTTATCACATATTCAGTTTTTCTTTTCCTTCCCTGATCCTAGGTAAAGCAAATGGTGTCAAAAGAAAAGATTGGGACTGCAGATCTGTGGGGATAGAAATGGAAAGGAAAGCACAGCACCTGAGCCTCCAAGTGCCGCTGCGCTCCCACAGCTCCTCCTCCTCTTCAGAGGAAACGAGCAGCTCCAGTGCTGCCCTGCCCTTGCTTGCAGGGGAGAAGGACAGCCCCTCATCCACTGCTGAGGATCACCTGGGACAGAAGGAGTTCCTGCCCAGTGCAAAAAGGGAAGATGCTCATGGAAGGTTAGTACTCTTGTCTAGGTAGGCATATAATTCAACTCTTGAACGCTCCAAGATGTAAGAAAAGCCTTTGATTTAGCAATTTTTAAAGTGTTCGTGGTGCTGCTGAAATGTGTTTGCTAGTTTGAATGCCTATTTGGATCCCTAATAGGGGATGCTTACCTGAGCAAGGTAGAAAATCCAGCATTATCAAAATAATGACTGTGCTAATAGAGTCACAGAACCACTGATGCATTTGACAGCCGCTACAGTGCAGGAAGGGAAGCATTAGTAATGAGATAACCAAGTGAAGCCTTGATTTCTGTTCCCAGTGTCACGGTGGAGGGTGCAGAGGGCCGGCCTGCATCCCCTGGCCCCCAGGAGAGGCCCGTGGGCCAGTCCCCCATGAGGTCCCCCCTGAAGAGACAAGCGTCCGTGTGCTCCACGCGGCTGGGCAGCACCAAGAGCCTGACAGCAGCGTTCTATGGGGACAAGCAGCCCGTCCCCGTGGGAGTGCAGTTCAGCAGCGACGTGTCCCGCAGCGATGAGAACGTCCTGGACTCCCCAAAACAGAGGAGGAGCTTTGGTTCTTTCCCTTACACACCCTCAGCAGATTCCAACTCCTTCCACCAGTACCGCTCCATGGATTCCAGCATGTCCATGGCGGATAGCGAGGCTTATTTTTCAGCTGCTGAAGAGTTTGAGCCCATAAGCAGTGATGAAGGTCCAGGAACCTATCCAGGAAGGAAGAGGAGAAAAAAGCAAGCTCAGAAAACTGAGTACAGTAGGGGGTCTATTTATCACAGCGTGGAAGGACCCTTAACAAGCACAATCCATAGAGAAATCAGTCAAGATATGAAAACGTTGCCAATTAAGACTCATCCTTCCCAGGCTTCATTTGTTTCAGCTCTGGGAGGAGATGATGAGCAAGTTGACAACATGTATGTCCTGGACTCTGAGAAGCCTGTGGAACGTGAGCAAATCACTTCCCAGCAGCCTGTGATGGCATGTTACCAAAATTACCTGACACAGTTCCAGGTGATCAACTGGTCAGTAAAGCATCCAACTAACAAAAGGACTTCCAAATCCTCATTGCATCGCCCTTTAGACCTTGACACACCAACGAGTGAAGAAAGTTCCTCATCCTTTGAGCAGCTCTCTGTCCCAACTTTTAAGGTATGGAAGATGGAGGAGTAGCCAAAGGAGTAAGAATTCAAAATAACTTAAAATGGCTTAGTACCAGTTGTGTGAATAAGCTACAAGAAACTTGAAATTTCTTTGCTTTTAGTTAAGGAATACCTTGAATTTCTGCCTTCAGATCATGAGGCTGAGTGGCTGGAAGGCTGTGGGAAAATCAAGATGGAGTTAGAATTCTGGGGCTGGGTGTGTTCTGAATTATTGTTGTTGTACATAAAAATGCTGCCTGTTGAATGATATGCAGCTGGAGGACATTTATGTGAGTTTTGTTTAAAATACATTATGCAGAACTGCAATAGCAGAACATTTAATACTGATAAAGTATAATTCAGGCTCTCGGGGCTTTATTTGAAAATAAAATTGCAACTCAGATTTAGGAAATTATTTTTTTGAAGTGACCTGAGCATATATGGTTAAGGAAGGAGCTGAAATGAAATGGATGAAAAATAATGGAAATGACTTGGTAGAAAACAGGTTTTTGAGCTCTGGAATTGAATTTGCTATCATTTTGCAGAAAAGGTTTGTGTTAATGCAAACCTTATGTAGATTAGTATTTAAAGGGGTTTTTTATAAGCAATAAATTAATGTTTATGTAAAAGCAGTGCAATCTGATTTTTTAACGAAATTAAAAAGCAGACCTAGGAGTTCCTGCATCCTATATTGGAGAATCTGCTTCTAAGTCTTCTTTTTTAAAAAAAAGCTTTAAGAGGAATTTTTAAAGATACCTTGGTTGGCTTTTTTTATCCTATATGGAAGGAATGTAATAAACTTCTTTGCACTTTCATCTTAGATTGTTAAACAGGGTCTCACAGCTAACTCATTACTGGACAGAGGCATGCAGCTTACAGGATCAACATCTAAGTAAGTTGAACACAACCTGACATTATTAGCATATTTTTCAAAAGTAGGATTTTCCTGATACTCTTCTGAAATATTTTGGCTCCCACTAGCCTTTTCAAAATTTGATTTACAGCATTAGTTTTCAGTACCAGATCTATTTCAGAACAGGTCATTCTATCACAAAATATTTCGGTTTGGTGCAAGCATTAAATTATTTCACTTGTACGTTTTCAGACTACAAATGGTGATCTCATTTAGATGAATTTGGAGGTGCTAATGGCAAGTGTCCATTTCACTGCCAGAAGCTGAACTTGAATCTGGGGAGGGCCTTGCCCTGGGATTATTTTTTGTACTTTCTAAGATAAACCATAGAAGAAACCTTCTGTTATGTGGATTAACGGAATAAAGAATTAAATTAAGAAGAATTAAAATGATACCAGAACACTTTTGTATTTGTTTTTACCAAGCCTGATCATTGATGTGTGTTTGACTTGTTTAGCACACCTTACACTCCCTTGGATAAGAAGTCTGCAGAGAATACAGATGATGAAACAATAACAGAAGAATGGACGTTGGATCACCCCGTCTTCCAGACACGGACAACGGCAATCGTGGAAGTAAAAGGAACTGTAGATGTAGTTCTGACTCCTCTTGTAGCAGAGGCACTGGATAGGTAATTTTTATTTTGATGGTACTAAAAATTGTCTAAAATCACAGCTGTTCTGTTCAGCCAAGGCTTAGGGTGAAAGGCTGATGGACCAGCAGGGCCTGGTGCCCAGCAGATGTAATTCTGCATTTCCTATGAGGTGGCTGGGAGAATGGGAAGTGTCCTTTGTGTCTGTCACTGCTTGTTTTTTCCTCTGTAGTGTTCATTACACGTGCCTGATGGTGTGCCATGTGGAAGCTGCAGTTTCAATGGTCTCCTGTGGCTGTTTTCCCCTGGCAGGTACATCGAGGCCATGGTGCACTGTGCCAGCTCCCGGCACCCGGCAGCCATCGTGGATGACCTGCACTGCAAAGTCCTGAGGGATGCTGTGCAGAACAGCAAGACCAGCTTCTCAGAAAATGTGAGCAAAGAACATGGGAAATCCATATGGATTTCAGAGAATGCTCTTTTCTGTATCTTACATAAAAAACGTTTTAACTGAATTTACTGTTATGAGATAGAATAGCTAAGTGCTATGTTAATTTGTTTGCATACTTACATGCATTTTCATAATCAGCTCTTGCATATTGTCTTTTGCTGTCCAGAAATCTTTTACAGGATAGAAGTTTTACTGTTTTGGATGGTCTAGAGTAATTTACATGGGATCAAATCACACATTTTGTTCTCTGAAATTACTATAGCTGCTATTCTTAAGTGCTACATTGATCTCAGTGAGATGCTTTTTATTATTTTGTAGTAGTTAGAGAGAGCTGTGGAAGTGTCTGTGGGTTTTTTAGCCATTCATCCAAGACCTTAAAAAATTAATTTAACTTAAAAGAGTTGTATGGTAGTTCTACAGAATTAGTTGTTTTTTCTGTCCAAGGTAATGACCGTATTTATATTTTATGATTTCTTAGACTTCACCGTGTAGTGCACACTAATAATTTGCTTCATAGTAAGTTGTTTGATGTGACTTAGATGTGTAGAATTCAAACTTCCAGCCTAAGTCTGGTTGTTAACGTTTACTGCAGAATGGCACTGCTGCCCTTATGGTTTTAGACCTACTCTACCTCTAAGTGCTGCAGCCCTTGTTCTGGAAATCATGGTAAATTGCTTAAAATCGAGTCAGAATCTCTTTCCGCTTCAATGCTAAGGAAATATCCCGTTACTCCTGAGCTCAGCAATTCTTGAGTTTGTGCTAATACATTATTTTTCTCCCCTCTTTAAGTTGTCTTCAAAGCAAGACATCAGAGGAACAAAAATAGACACCACCACAACAGGAACAACGAACCAGGGACCAGCACAGACCAATCTCTCACTTAAGCAAGATAATGTGACAATTAAAGGTCTTCAGGCCAACGTTACAGTTCCAAAGGTAACAACTTACTTTTTAGCCTATCAGTAGAAAAGTGCCTCACAACATCATCCTTATTTTGCATCCCTGTTTGTTCCCCAAAAGCTGAAGCTGTGATTTTGTGCTAGAGAACTCAAGTTTTGAATTTTGGAGCTGCTTGATTTTATGATGATAGGCATGCAGTAATTAAATATCAACCACCGTAGGTATAACTGGCTGCCATGTCTTTAAATTATGTTCTGGGTGTGATGGTTTTATTTTTTTTTTTTACTACAAGTATAAGACAAGGTTGTATCAGAAATTAGTGATTTATGTGACATGCTTTTTCTAAATGTCTTTACTCTTTGATGGAATTTTATGTACAGGTGAACCTGTGTTTGCTACAAGCATCTGTGGATGAATCCCCAGGAGTTTCTTCCAGCAAAACCGTGACTCACGTTTCCTTAGTAGCTTTGTGTTTTGATAGAATTGCTACTCAAGTTCGTATGAACAGGTAAGAAGAGTACATGTCACTATTTGTCATAAACTTCAGACATATTTCATTTGATTGTTTTTGTTCATCTTGAGATTTGCTTAATTGTTTTTTCCTCCCTGATATTCTTGAAAAGGGGTATAGTTGAGGAGACTTCGAACAATGCAGAAACTGGAAGGAATTCTGTCACATTTGATCGTTACATCCAAACCAGCAAAATGCAGCCCCAGTCTTCTGGCTCACTGAGATCCAATTCTGGAGCAGAAAAAGGAAAAGAAATTGCTGCTAAACTGAACATTCATCGTGTTCATGGACAGCTTAGAGGTCTTGATACAACAGGTATTAAACAATACTGAAGTGTAGAAATGGCAGTTTTAATAGAAACAAATAGTTACAGTTGGTCTTGATCTTGTAGTTTGGTTGTAGGATTTTTATCAACATGGATGATAAGCTACTTGCACCCAGACTTTTTGCACATACTTCAAAAAGAAGTTTGGGATGAATTATTATTCCACTGAGTGCTAGATTTAAACTTAGGCAAACTAAAAGCTGTCAAGACAAACTTGTAAGCAGTTTGTGTGGCAGATGTGTTGCTGTGTAATTATTGACCTGCACTGCTGGAATTTGAGGCCTGAGCTCCCTTCCTCCCAGCTCATCTCTTTTCAGCTACCATTTTCTGTCACCTTTTGCAGGGAATGAATTGCACTTATTTGCTTTCTTACTACTTTCTAACACTTGGAATAATGTGCCTGTTGTACCAGCAATTTCAGCATGACAACCTGTAGATTGTTGAAAATGAGATCTACCCAACTGACTTCCTTGTTGTTTGTGTTATGGAAATCCTTCAAGAAGCGATGAGTTAAATTTTGCTACAACTATTGATCCTGGAAAAACTAATCAGGAAAAGATGACCAAAAGTAGAGGCAGCTTTTGTTTAACTGCTTCAATTTTGATGGACTCGATACCAGTTGTTACTCTGTTCCATAAGGAATAGGAGTCTTTAGACATGAGATAGTATTCTGTAAAGCCATGATGATTAAAATTAGACAATAAATAAATAACAGAAAATCCCACTGCTCTGCAAAGATGACTGAGCACGTGAAATTGGAGAAAACCAAAACCAGAGAACACTGAAATGGTTACCTCCCTTTTTTCCTTAGTTATGGGTAGAATCTTACCCTGTGTCAGGTATGTTACAGACATTGAGAAGCACCAGTTTTGGAGTTGTAACCAAGAAAATTCATCATCTTCTGTTTACAAGGTTTGAGAAGAGCCTTTCTAAGGATCTTAACATTTCATGTTTACTTCAAAAATGGATGCAGTTACAAATTGGAGTCAGAGAGTAAAGATTAGAAGGGATATAAAGTGACTCAGTGTAGCTGTTTTCCTGAGGTACTTGACATTTAGGTATAAAAGGATTTAAAATGTTGCTCAGTCCTTGGTTTTTTTTTTCCAAATTTAAATATTATCCTGCCCACATTAACACACCAGAAGCAAGGCTTTTTTACCCTCTTTTTGTACTTCTTTTTCTTGTTCGTGCTTCAAGTTGAAACTTTCTTCTTGTTTCTCCCCTCTCCTCTTTGAGGAATACTCCAACACTCTAAACTTCAGAGAGCTTTTGGAAGATGTAAAGTTTTTTCCATTTTGGATCAAAGTAGTAAATATGTTTATTTTCACAGATATTGGAACTTGTGCAATAACAGCCATTCCTTTTGGGAAATCAAAAGTTCTTTTTACTTTGGAAGAATTGGATGAGTTCACTTTTGTGGATGAAACAGATCAACAAGCTGTTCCAGATGTAGCTCGAATTGGTCCTAGTCAAGAGAAGTGGGGTTGGATAATGTTTGAGTGTGGAATTGAAAATCTAACTATAAAAGGTAAAGGTTTTCAAGGCTTTATATTATTTTGTTTTATGAGACTACTGACAATTCTGCTGTTAGATCTTCTGGCTTAGCAATTATTTGATAAGTTGTTCAATCTAGGTGATACCGAATGGTACGTGTCTGTGGTAAATAAATTTTATAGGTTATGCAATGAAGACATTTTTAATGGTAAGTATCACTAATAATAATGTGTGAAATAATTTCATATAAACTGGTTTCATCAGTTTCTGAACTTCAGGTTTTAATCCTCACCTTATCCACAGGAAGTCCATTACAGAGCCAGAGTTTTGCTGGGGGTGGGAGCTAGCTACACAAAGTAAAAAAACCCCACACTATATGTGTGTTTTCTATCATCCAAGATATCTTTTTTCAGAGAATAATATTTAAGAAATCTTTATGTGAGTACTCTTCATCTACTTGTGGTAAACCATCAGAAGCTTGAAAATGTAGTGCTAATCTTGTTTAACTAAAATCATGTGTATTTCCCTACTTAAGTACAGATCTTTTCTATGGGGCATAAGTTACAGCTATTCATGTGCTGCCAACCTTTACAGTCTGGGTATTTTTACAGGGGGAAGACAGTCTGGGGCAGTGCTGTATAACACATTTGGAGTCATGGGTAAATCAAGGGACACAGAGAGAGGTGGATTGCTTGCATCAAACAACTCTTCAGATTCCCCCACTGGTAGTGGCTACAACACTGATGTGTCTGAAGATAACCTCCCTTGTGACAGAATAAGTCCCTCTTCAGATATTAATGGAAATTCAGTTTCAGATGAGCAGGTATGTTCAAACTGGGTACAAATGATTGGTCACTCATCCTGCTTGCTTAGACACTGAGCTTCCAGCTTTCTGTAGGTCCCTTGGGAGGATCAGTGGACAGCATTCGTTTCTTTTTCTTTGCCTAAATTCCTATGAAACAATTTTTACTGTGCATACTACAGTATGTTAGTTCCTTTAAGTGTGATAATTTTGGAAGACAATTTCCCTTCTAACTACATAATTCCTTGTTTTTGAAGGATGAAGGTGTTGAATCAGATGATCTGAAAAAAGATATCCCCTTGATGCCTCCTCCCCCTGACTCCTGCAGCATGAAGTTGACAATCAAAGAAATTTGGTTTAGTTTTGCAGCTCCCACCAATGTGCGCTCCCCAGCCCACGTATATTCAAGGTATAATTTTACCTGATATAAAAGAGAGAAAATGGCAGTTCTGCTTTGTTAAATTGCATTTGTGTTTGGTAGGTTCTGAATGGACTCTCAGTAGTTTTTGAAGCTTCTTTGGAAATGGTAATTTTGAGTTTTTATAAATCACAGTAAGACTTGCTTCAGTTTTTTTTACTGTTGTAATTTCTATGGAAGTGCTGCTAGAAAATTGTGATTAAAAGAAGAAAAAAGGAAGAGTAAAAAACACAAGTGAAACAAAATGCCCTCACTAACAGCTGTGATGGAAATGCATGAGGGAGAAAGGCAGGGGAAGATGTTTGTTTTGAGTAGGTGAGATGCTAGTGAAGAGAAGAGCTCACTGCTTTTGGTAGTGAACCTGATATCATCCATGATCTGACCTAAAGTTCAAGATGTGTCTTTCTAAGATAGTTTTTCCCATTGTATATGTAGAATAAGGCAAATGTTTCAGTCTGACTGTACAGAGCCATAAGTTAGAAAATACTCTGCTGATACTCTTCCCTCAGCCCTTTGGCACAAGTCCTTCATGACATGTAACACTTCATGTGAGATTCAGTCAGTGATGAGAATTTCAAACTGTGATTTCAGTGGGGAATACAAATGGGAAAAGGAAGGAATAGCAGTAGCAAGAGTGGGAACAATCATGAGTTGTGAGTGAGTAAAACAAAAATTGCCTCAGGTACTTTTTGCCAGTTCTTGTTTTGGGCAGTAAATCTGTGTTTATTACTTTGCATCAATGTCCCACCTAATTGAGTGGTTCATAGCAGCATCAGAAAATCCTGCTCATTGCTGCTGCTGCCTGTGAACATCCCTTTCTTTTTTTTGTCTGCACAGGCAGCTGAACCTCCTGAGCACTGCAACACCTGCAGTTGGTGCTTGGCTTGTTCCCATTGACCAAGTGAAGTCTTCATTAAATAAACTGGAAACTGAAGGAACCCTGCGAATCTGTGCTGTTATGGGGTGCATTATGACAGAAGCTCTAGAGGTAAATGATTTTAGAAAATCAGTGAGCATAACAGAACAGTGTGATAAGTGATATATAATTTTTGGAATTCTGGATGTTTTTGCTGGCAAACTTAGAGCATCTCTTGTGAGCCTTTGGAATTGCTCACAAGAAATCACAAAACGTTGTGCTGCTTGTACACAGTCTGAATTTCAGAGCTGTTACTGGTGAGGAAGTCTCATGATTTTTACAGGAGTGCATCTCCAGGTAAAATAAGAGTAAGAAGTATGGCTGTAGTGCCTGGTATATTTTATGAAGTCTTTTTGTTTGCTGTTGGTTTGATTGGCACCATCTAGTGGGAAGATTTTGACGTGATAGCCACGCTGAGATCCTGGCTTGCATAGAGAGATGGATGACCTAAGTGTGATGCTGGTTTTCTGCCCTGCTCAAAAATTATCCTTTGCAGCAGTCTCTTATTCCTACCTCCCTTCCTGTTTCTTCTTACTACCCTCTTTCTAGCATTAAACCAAATTAGAAGTGCCTGTTTTGTCTTTAACTAGGAATAAACTTCTTTTTGAAAATTGCAGCTGGTTTTGCATCTATGTCTGTTAGTCCAGATGTAACTTTATAAGGCCTGCAATTTGAATCTAGGCTTTTCTTTTATTGCTTCATATAAATAAATAGGCATCCAGAATGATTTTTCAGTATTTAAAATTAGGTGGTTACTCCATGAGGCAAATCTTTGTTGCAGAAGTTCAAAAGGGAGTTAGAAGTTTGTTATCTCATAGATGAAATCTGATCATTGATGCTGTGTTTGCAAGTATGTTCATATGTTGAAAATGTTCTTATTTTCATCTAGAACAAAAGTGTGCACTTCCCTCTGAGAAGCAAGTACAACAGGCTTACCAAAGTGGCTCGTTTCTTGCAAGAAAATCCTTCTTGTTTACTCTGTAATATACTGCACCATTACCTTCATCAAGCAAATTACTCCATTATTGAGGATGCCACTATGGTAAGTTAGCCAGGAAAACTGCAAATATCTCAGTCTTTTAGTTTCAAATATGCCAATTCTAATGTCTTCAATATGGCAAGAGTTTGAGGAAAGTTAAAAAACAAGAAAATATAACTCAAACTCATATGCATCTTTAAAGTGATAAGTAGATATTGTTTCTCTCATTTAATTTTCTTTGATATCTGCTATTTTTGTTATGATCTGTATATATGCATAATGTTTATGAAACTATTTTAATAGTAAATACATGAGATCATAAACTAAAAAGGCAAGCATTTAAAAATATGTATATGACTTTTAAAATCAGATTTCATTCCCTTTCTATCATAGGTCAGTGGCTTTTTTATAAGATTTAATTTTTCATGGTTTTAAAATTGAGTAAGTCTTGATTACGGAAGCAAGTACATGAACTGGTTAATTTATTCCAAATTCTCTCCTTGGAACTAGTTTTCATGTCTTTTAGAAACACTAGGCTAATGCAGACAGTTTAAGGAATGAACTAGAATTGTACAAGCTTTAAACTTGAAGAATTGAATATTTTTCTTGATGGCTTTAGAATGTAAATGTCTTGATTGTAGTGGAAACAGTTATTTGAACAAACACCAGGCGTAAGGGAGGAGTGTTTATTCCTGATTTTCTGTCATTTTCATAATCCAGTTCCACAGCTGTCAGATTTAAACACTTGGGTTTTCAGCATATTCAGCTGAGAGCCAGTGATCAGGAATAGCACAGTTTGTGGCACAAATAGCACAGTTGGATTTGTGGTCAAAATAACTAGCTTTTTGTTTTCTTTAGGACAATTCAGTGATGTAATCAAAACAATCCCTATATTTGGCCTCAAATTTATGTTCTTAAAATACTGCTTATGAAGAATGAAAAAACAATCTTTTTCAGTTCTGTTTGTACAGAGTTGCTATGAATCTTAGCCCATAGTTCAGAGCCTGATAATTACTCAAGTACTTTTAGCTTCATATTTAACAAACCTGCTTCCTATTGTTTATTTTTGGCCCCTTGGGCTAGATCCTCAGGTCGTAATAAATGTATTTACTGTGTTCAATGAAGCTGTAATTTTTATCTCTCAGCCCCTTGGCTTCTTGCTTGATGTATTGTGGTGCCAGCATGTTTGTCATAAGCCTCTTAAGCACAAAGATTTAAGAGAGCTTTGACTTTTTCTCTCTTCCAGTTTACTTCAAAATGCTGTGATATGAATTTTTAATTTTTTTTTTTTTTTTTATTTAAAGAGTGATGGCCTTCCTGCCTTAGTGACCTTAAAGAAAGGTCTGGTTGCTTTAGCAAGGCAGTGGATGAAGTTCATTGTGGTCACCCCAGCCTTTAAAGGAGTCAGCTTGCACAGACCAACCCAGCCAATGAAACTGCAGCCAAATGCCTGCCACGAGCATGAGGATGGCCTTGGATTGGACAATGGAGGGGGCCTGCAGAGTGACACGAGTGCTGATGGAGCAGAGTTTGAATTTGATGCAGGTATTTTCGTGTTATCATCTCCATAAAAATTCATAGCCACAAGCAGACATTTCCATCTTCTTTAGTTTTAATGCTTGGCACATTATAGTCTCCTTTTTTAGAGTTATCAAGCTTCTTTTTTTATATCACCTTTGCTCTGAAGCTGCTGCTAACAATGATAATTATGGTGTTAGAGTAATTAGTGCTTTTTCAGGGAAAAGCAAAACAGGAAAGCAAAACTCTTTCTTCACATCTTTATCTTTTTTTTGTCTTGCACAAAATAAGTCAACTTATTTGTGTATAAATCAGCCAGCACTGTGTGTGTGTCAGCACTTGGAAGTTCACAACTGCTTGTAGATAAATGTGCCTGATAATAGATGTTTTTGGTTCTCCAAGTATATCTAAATGAGGAAAACTTTTTGCTTGGGTGCAGCTACTGTGAGCGAGCACACGATGCTCCTGGAAGGAACAGCCAACCGCCCTCCCCCTGCCAGCGCCTCCGGGCCTGTCACTGGGGCTGAGATCATGAGGAAGTTGTCCAAGACTCACACTCACAGTGATTCTGTGCTGAAGATCAAGGTGAGTGCACAGGGCTGGGCACTGTGGCAAAGGGGGTTGTGGCTGGCCTGTTCAGGAGCAGTTCTGGAGCTGCAGATGAATAAATGCATGTGAAAAGTAACTACAGCACATGGAAGCTCTGCTGCTGACCTTACAAAAGGGATGCTCCAGCACTTGGTCTAGATTCTACATCTGTTCTTTGTTGTTTTTATTGCCAGTTAACTTTATGTGCACTATTTAAGGATGTGCCCTAACCTTTCTAGCCTTTGATCATTTATTTATGGCAGCAGAAACAAGGATTTAACTATCGTGATACAAAATCCGAGACTGGCAAAGCTCTCTAGAAACTTGTAGCAAAATTACTGTGTTCCAACCTTCTATCCAGACCAAATGCTGCTTCGTTTTTTGCAGTTTCCACAGTATTTCATTCATTTCTTTTTCTTCTGCTCACAGGGCATCCATCCATATCATTCCTTGAGCTACACCAGTGGAGATACAGCTACAGATTCCCCAGTGCACGTTGGCCGCTCTGGAATGGGAGTCAGGGAAAGTCCAAGGAAAGAAAGTCTGCTCAGCTATCTCACTGGGAGCTTTCCTAGCCTGCACAATCTTTTGGAAGGGACTCCTCAAAGAAGTTCAACTGCAGTTAAAAGTAGTTCTTTAACAAGAACAGGTATGATGTAGCATAAAGAAGTAGTATATAAGCATAAGCAGGTATGATGTAGCATAATTTTCGAGTCTTTTTGAATGAATAAGGAAATAACCATTTTGTATTTGTTTTTTCTTGACCTTGTAAGTAGCTCTAAAAAAGAGCTGAAACTCATATTTCAGTAACTTAGTTTGCAGATGATAAACTGCAGACTTTTACTAATGGCCTTTTCAACAAGTATTTTAGAAGCTTGAAACGTGGACATGTTTATGCTCAGTATTATTTTTCAGAGTGTATTGTTATCAGTTTTTCTTTATTTGTAAGTTATATACTGTATATGCTACTCTGTTTTCTCTAAAACCTCTCTCCTTTGCTGAAAGGGACTGAAATATTCTTCAGAAAAAAAGGTATTTTGGTTTCTTCATGACTCCTTTCCTCTATTTAATGGTAGAGATGAGCAAATGCAAAGCCATGTGTAATGCAACATCCATTAGTGCCATGTACAACTTCTGTGGTAGAACCCATTCCACACATAATTTAGTGGAATATACCTTGAGAATTAAGTTTGTTTTGATACTTTATAGGTGTTGTCAGTGAAATTGTGCAGTGTTCCTTGTTTTTTTCTGACTTGGATGCAAGAAATGCTGAAGTCTCTGCTTTTTCTGCACAGGAAATACCGTGGCCACAGACATGCTGTCTGAGCACCCTTTGCTGTCTGAGCCCTCCTCTGTGAGTTTCTATAACTGGATGTCCAATGCTGTGGGCAACAGGGGAAGTGTTGTACAGGAAAGTCCAGCCACCAAGTCTGGGCACAACAGCCTTCCAACAGGTATTGCTAATTTGCAGCTGAGTTGCAGATGGTTCTGGGTTGGTTCTGCCTGTATTTGCCACATTCTGGCTGAAAGTAATTGAGAGAGGGATTTATGTTCAACAGAATTTAATTGATTCAGGGTATTACTTGTGGGACTTCCTTGCAACCTGGAAAATAAAAAAATGGGATTTCAGCAAAACTGCTGTTTTTCTTTTGCCTCACCCTGCCTCCAAAAATTTAGCTGTTTCTTACATTTGGAACTGTCAGTGTAGCTGCTAAAACCATGTGTAGCTGCCAAAAGTTAAGCCATAAAATTGCCTCCTGTTGCCGAGTTTCTTGGTTTTGTTGGCTCTTCTTGATCTAATTTGCATATGCTTATGCTGTAATTTGTGCATTGGAATCCTTGCTCTTTCTCAGTTCAATTTTGAGACAAACATGTATTTTGAGAGTGACTTAAGAATGGGTTAAGTGGTGTAAGGGAATAAAGAAAAAATATCTTTCTGAAAGTCTTAGGTGTATTAAAGACCCAGATGTGCAACAATTTATTGTAGCTTATTTTTTTTCTTATTGACCTGTCATCATTCAGACTTTTCAATGTGTGTCTTAATTTTCTTTTTCACTAACACTATATTTGAATATTTTTTTTCTGTTAACACTGATGCTATATTAATCTTAGGCAATAAGAAGTTGTTTTAGTTTGGTTTTGATATTGAACCAATAGTCTGATCCTACCAACATAGTGCTGTACATATTGCTGAACTATTGTGGCTTCTGTGTGAACTAGAATGTGTTTCTTTGCAGAAAAACTCTTTCCAAATTTGAATTGGACAATCTCTACCTGTTCCAGCAATATCAGGCTCTTTCTTTATCCTGAATGCCACCTTTGTGAGGTTACAGACCTCACCGTGGCCTGTTTATTCAATTAATTATTGAATTCATCGAGTCAGTGGTGGTAAGATTTGCTGTGGTGTTAGTGTTCCATGGGTATTTATTTTCCAGGTGTGGCACCCAATCTTCCTACTATCCCCTCTGCTTCAGACTTCAACACAGTTCTGTCCAGTGACCAGAACACCCTGGATGGCACCCACTCACAGCACAGCACCAGCCAGGACGACATTGCAGGAGTAGAAGAGGGCAACCAGGGCTTTCCTGCTGTCCAGCTGGCAGATGCACAGGTAACTGGGCTGGCACATCACCAAATGATGAGCAAGAGTGTGGAAATAATCAAGGCTTTTGTAACTAAACGGGTGGGTTTTGTTTTGCAGGTTGTTTTCAAACCTCTGCTGAGTTACACAGGAATTCAGTCTCAGGATGCCATGCCCCTGTGCTACAGGATGTACTTTGGGGAGTACCTCTCTTTCTCAGGAACTCTGGACTGCCTCAGAGCAGATATTGTTGATTCAGACACAGCAAAAGAAAGGAAAAGCAAGCGAGCCCGAAGGTATGATGGGAGATGGAAAAATGTGTATTGGCTAAAGAACTGAAATTGGGCTTTTCAAAAAAATCTTTTAGGATATAATGGAATGATTACATGCCAAGCTAGGTATCATAGCAGTGGATGATTTCTTTGTTAGTAGCACACAGTATGAAACTGTAAGAGTTCATTTTATTATATTTAGAACTGTGATAAAAGGGTGATATCCTAAGGGAAATACAAGGCTGGGTTCAGTAAACTAGATGTAAAAAAACAACACAGTAGTAACTTGTACCTTTCCTTTCCTTAGGCAAGGAGCTGTTAATCTTCCTCCTCTGGAATTCAAGCCAGCTTTGATGTTGGAGACTTTCAGCATCAGCGCTGTGGTGATGGAGAAATCCATGTGCACCCCTCAGAATTCCACCAACGCCCTTTCCTTCCACGACTTGAACAAGCGCTACTACAACACCTTCCACTGCAACTTCACCATTTCCTGCCAGTCCATCAGCCAGCACGTGGACATGGCCCTGGTGAGGCTCATCCACCAGTTCAGCACCATGATTGATGACATCAAGGCCACGCAGACAGACATCAAGCTGAGCAGGTACACGGCCGGCTCGGCCTCCCCCACGCCCACCTTCAAAACGCGCAAGCACAGGGATTTCCGCTCCTCGGATTTCAGCCGCAGCTCCCGGGGCAGCCTCAACGGGGGCACCAGGGTCAACAACACCAAGAACAAGAGAACAAACAATGACAACAATAAGAAAGAGTCCAGGAACAAGAATTCTCTGGGGAGGTCGGAGAGAAGGACTTCCAAAGTGTCCAGGAAAGGCTCCAAAGATGTGGTTGACCATGTGACAATCCATATGGATGACTCTGACTCCATTACCGTGTCGGAACAGAGCGAGCCCTCTGCAGAGTGCTGGCAAAATATGTACAAGCTACTCAACTTCTATTCACTCATTTCTGATCCAACTGGCATCTTAGAGAAGTCTTCTGAAACTTTTGGGCCAACAGGTAAAGTGGTTCATGAACCCAAATAACTGTGTGTGTGTGCTTTTGTTTAAATGGGGCATTCCAAAGCTTGGTTGTGAGGTGGCTTTTGAGAGTTGCCCACCCCATCTGACTTGGATCAGAGGGACAAGTGGTGAGGATGGAGGGGAGCTTTTGATTAGTTCACCAAGATGATGTACAAAAGAAAAGCTTAACTTTTCTCACTGATTTTGTAGTATGGATTGAGTTTGTTCCTCTTGTTTTGTGTTAAAAGGGCTACTGGAAATGCTGTTTATTATCATTCTGTGAAAATATGCAAGCATGTTCATAAGCCATTTTAGAGGGAAACTATTTCTGCCTTGAGAATGACTGACAGTAGGGAAGAAAAAATCTGTGAATCTTGTTGTGAGAGCAGGAAAGGTGAAATACTGATTTTTGTCAAGTCCTACAAAAGTTAGAGGTGTTCAGGTCATAATTTCACCTGAAAGCTTCAGATCTGGTGTAATTATTGTTATTTCCAGTGTATTTCAGCACAGCAGAGTAAATCTGAGAGCTTAGTATCATTGTTCCATTGTTTTTGTTGCTGAATTTAGGTTGCTGTAAATATGCAGAGGATGGTGTAGTTGCTTGATAGTTATGGAGTGTGCATCTCTTTTAACTAAAGAGTGAAATCTAAGGAAGTCTCAAATGGGAATTTCTGTTAAACAGAGGCCAGTGTGTTTCATGCACAGAATATCACATCCACAGTTACAACATCTGCACAAAATGTAAATTTTCTTAGATTGTTTTTAGCCTCCTGAGCCCTGAAAAGGAAAACTTGCTCATCCAAAACAGAATTATAAGAACTTTCGCCTGTGGGATCATCAAAAAATAAACGGGACAGTTGGAAACTGTCAGGGCATTTTTCTGGTATAATTTAAAAATCTGATCATTACAAATATTTATCTAAGGTACATGAGAGTGTATCTATGAATAATAATGAAACCACATCGTTAATTATTGTCTTCATTGTGCCTTGGATTTGATTCGGTTGCAATGATATTGGGGTGGAGCGAGTGAGGTGCAGATAAGAGTTTCCTTGACATGAAAGATACACGATCCTTGGTTTGAAATGCAACTATAAATGAGATATGCCCAAGATTGATTGTAAAGAAATCCTTAAATAACTGCTGGTGTTACTGCAGGCGTTCGCAGCCCCACGGAGCCTGCCTGCAGGGTGGTGTTTGAGAACGAGCAGGAGAACGGGCGCAAGCGCAGCCTGGTGACCTCGGAGCCGCAGCACGTGACCCTCATCGTCTTTGGGATAGGGATGGTGAACAGAACCCACCTGGAGGCTGACATTGGTGGCCTCACCATGGAATCTGAGCTGAAGAGAATCCATGGCAGCTTCACCCTCAAAGAGAAGATGAAAGGTGGGATGAGCTAAAAGCCTGCTCTGTAATTAAATTCGCTGGCGACTTTGTGTGTTCATGTGGACGTGTTACGTGTGTGTGTAATATAATAATATTCAACAAGGCCTTTTAAAAGCTGTTACTAGGGTGCTGAAGGATTTTAAAAGGATGGAAGATTTTCAGAAAGTGCTATGGAGGAAATTCTCTTAGAAGACAGTCACTCATTTTCAAAAGCTTTCTCCTTGGTACAATTTATAGTTGACATTGCTTAATGTGACTGCTAAAGCTCTAATTTTTCAGTTATTTTCCTGTTACAATATTTTTAAAAACAATAAGCATACCTGAACTATTGTACTGACTGAAATGATGTTAAATCTATTTTTTTTCCTGAAGATGTGCTACACCAAAAGATGACTGAGACATGTGCCACTGCTCACATAGGAGGTGTCAATATTGTCCTGCTGGAGGGAATTACCCCAAATATCCAGTAAGTAGGAAGTCTCACAATTTAAATTGTTCAAGTTCATAGAAGTGGTATGAGTTGTATTCTTTGTCTTATGCTTCTAATTACTTTTTGAAACTTGTAGGCTCAAACCATATGAGATTTGTAGGGAGTAGTTAATGTGCTGATGTTAATTATTCCTGTTTATGACTATAGTGTTTCTTCAATAGATATATTTTTCAACTCTCATGATGCATCATTCTTTGTTCTCTCACGTTATTTTTACAGTTCTAATATCCCTTCTCCAGCCTTTATATAATTGACACAACCTGGGGAGGGGGAGAGAGCCACTTCTTGTGCATGAACATTGTCAATCACTTGCTCAGCATCCACATTGTTCTGGCTTTTTAATTTCTGCCAGGTTCACAGACTGAAAAAGGCCGTGCATTATTTTAATTTGTTCCCAGCTGCATCTCTTTCCGTTTGAGTTGCAGAATGAGCTGAACCACAATTCTTTGTAGCACAGATCACCCTCACACAGTTTGGGTGTTAGCTGGGTAACCCTCAGTATGTGGACTGGTCTTAGAACATGACTGTGTAGAAAGGGGCTAAACAATGTCACTTGAGTTCCTCTCTGCTTTTCATTCCTGAGTAGTATAGAGGATTCTACATAGAAATTAAAACATACAGAGTTATAAAATTACCTCAGCTAAATTGCTTTCAATGAGTTTGTTTCAGATGGATAAATCAAAGTTCCAATCTGGCAGTCATGAAGGGTTTCTGAAGGTGACCGAAGCTCTTCATGTCTGTTTTACATACAGGGAGGGTACAAGAGGAAATGGGGGAAATAATGATAAATCTTAAAAACAACAAGAACAAAGAACAAATATGAGCAAAACCAAAACCCTCAGCTTGGTAATTTTGAAAACAAATGTCATATTGTGGGTTACAAGAAATTAACTGACTAATTTTGCATGACTGTTTATTTGCTTTGTTTTTGTTTTTCTTGCTTTCTCTTCAATCTTCATCTGTAGACTGGAGGATTTTCCTACATCTCCTACAAGCACAGCCAAACAAGAGTTTCTGTATGTCATATTATTATTAATAGTCTTGCAGTTAACTCTGTGTTGTGTAGCTAATGGCTGCATTCCTACTGTGTGTGATTGTGGAGGCAGATGTTGCTTGAATACATTTTAGTTTAACATCTGCTATTACCTAGATAAGTTTTTTTTAATGAAGCCTGCTAAATACTTGCCTAAAAAAGCCCTTGTTAATGTTAGCAATATTCCTATTGCACTGCAGTCACTACTGCAATGTTAGGATGGTTTTACTGCCCTTAAGTTCTTTATATCTGCTTCTGTACTTATTTTAATGAGATTAAATACTGTTCATAAGTGTAAGGGAACACAGAGGTGAGATTTGCTTTGGAACTACTGTGTTTGGAGTGCTAGTTGTGGTGTCATCATAAGCAGGGCTATTCCTTTTTGTCTTGATTTCCCTGTGTGCTGGTTTAACTCCCAGGAATGCTGAAGATCTGTGTGAGTGGCTGCAGGTCTCCTCTGTGTGTGTGTTTATTCATTGTTGTGATAATACAGGATTAATTTTAAAATGTCCTTATATCTCTGGAAGGAGAGGTGCTGGACTGTAAAACTGCAAGTGATGTAAGGAATGTATTGGGATTTCTGTTCCTTTTGGTGTGGTAGCAGCATTAAAGCAGTGCATCACTGAGTTGTTGAATTTGCTGCCACAAAAATATAAATGATTAAAAGGATTGGATCAATCTCTGTAGGCTAGATCTGGTGTATTAGGGGCCTCTGCTGACTTTTCCTCCCCCTCCCAATTTTTACAACATTCCCAAAAATTTGTTGAGTACTGGCCTTGTAGTCAGTTCTGTTGTGAGACAAAGACTTTTTGTCACAAATTTGTCTGGAGAGTGATCATCTATGGTATTGATGTGAGAATACAGAAGTCTTTCTGGAAGCATTACTGATATATAACTTAAATAATGATTAATGATTTTAATGAGATACAACCAGGTGTTTTACAGGCATATCACTGTAGGTAAGCAAGCTGCAGATCTTTAATAATAAATGGATAGCCAGACAGTTGTTCCACATTTCATTCTGTCATGGAACTAAGTTTTCTGTAGGCAAGCAGTGGTGAAATTAATTTGTTGCATGAAATATGGAGAAAAGCACAGTTAATTTTGCTGAGGTTTTTTTTTCTCCTGCAACAGTTATACTGGTGTAATTAATTTTTAGTTAAGGAAATGTTTTAAATGGTTTGATTGTTGTAGTATTTTGTGTTATAGTTGGAGTTGAATACGTGTTCGTGATTGGCTTCACAACAGTTGAATCAAAATGGTAGCAGGAAGAGAGTAGGAAATGTGCAAACATCAAGAGAAATAATTCTGTTTTTCTTTTAAAGAGGTGGATTAAAACAATTCCGGCCTTTTCTTAAGTAATGCTTATTTGTGTAAGGTTTTTTCTGAAAATTGTTGTTAATTGTTTCCTCCTTCATGACATGTTTTGAAATAATTTCTTCTTGACAGTTTGCCCTAAAATATTAATTCTGAGCTGCTTTAGGTCACTTGGATCTCTTGCATAGCTGTGAAAATCTGAGAATGTTCCTTGAATTTCAGTCAATTAATTTGCTGTTGGTAGGGCAGTGGCTGCCTTACAGTGCTGTGTATTTCTTGATTATAAGCAGAAGGGTGATGTCTTATTTTTGTTGTTGTTTGTATTTTCACATCTGGGTTGCTTTAGGCTTGCTGATATTTTAACATAAGAATAAGAAGAAACATTGCTTAGAGAGTGGAGTTCATAGAATATTGTGTCTTTCAACATGAGACCAAACTGTCTATAAACAATTTAAATAGGTTACAAAAAGTGTTTTAGCTATACCCCTTGAAATATAGTATTTTAAAAACTTGCATTGAATGTTCCAATCTTATAGTCTATTTTTCAGCCATTTTAGTTGATGTATTGCATCTTGACAACTACATGTCCTTCTCTTTGAGGCTGTAATTCTGTGTTGGCTGCATAATACACTTCCATTGGGTAACCCTCCAGGAATTGACCATAGAAACATGAATGTGTTACCCAATATATTTTTTAATAGGAGTTAAGTGAATTCTGCTATGTCAAAATTCTGACATCAAAAACTGTCAGCTTAGTGCAGTTGTATTTTTGTCTTGGGTAACCATTGTGAACCACATCCTCCTCAACATTAAAATCAAGTTTAGATGATGTATTTTGGAACAATATGTTTGAATTAAACATCAATATTAATTTACAAATTCATCTATCGCGTGCTATGTATTTACTATTAAGTACTTCCTCCAATGACCTATTTGGATGCAAAACTCAGATTTGAGGATGACTCAAGATTATTCCTGAACAGGAGTTGAAATGGAAGGCTCTTTTTTTGTTTCTGTGTGTGCAAATTTGTCTATGTGCAGCCTGGTGTGTGTGCACTGAAATGACCTTACTTTAGACAAGAATTGCAGTTTTGAACAGGTATTTTTGCCATGCATGACGTGTAGTTCTCTTAAGTGTAGAGTAGTTGTTTGTGGCATGTAGTGCATCTGTGTGTAAAGTGGAAGAAAAAGGAATGTGGGTGTAGTTGACAAACGATATTATTTCAAAATTCAGGTTGCACTTAAAAACAGTTTAACCTCCAGCTGGCAGGGCATGCAAATGACTGCTGTTCCCTTTTGCTGTCAGAACCGTGGTGAAGTGCAGCATTGCCAAATCGCAGGCTCTGTACAGCGCCCAGAGGGGGCTGAAAACCAACAACGCGGCCGTGGTGAAGGTGGGCGCCATCAGCATCAACATCCCGCAGCACCCGGCCACGCTGCACAGCATGATGGTGCGCAGCTCCCACCAGCTCTCCAAGCAGATCTCCGACCTCATCCGCCAGCCCTCCACCGCGTGAGTGATCCCACAGCCCGCCCGCCGCCAGCCTCCCGGCACCGCCATGGATTCACGGCATTAACTGCCCGGGTTTGCTGCTCTTTGCTTCTCTCCCTCTGCAGGCCCCAGCCGGCCAAAGAAGATGTGGCCACTCCTCTGCCCTCTGAGAAGACTCCAACCAGCATCAATCAAACGCCAGTAGAAACAAATGAATTCCCACAGCTGCCGGAAGGCTTGGAAAAGAAACCCATAGTGCTCAAGTTCAGTGCCATGATCGATGGCATTGCCATTGGAGCAGCGCTCCTGCCCTCCCTGAAGGCGGAATACAAGATGGGAAGAATGAGGAGTCATGGAATGACAGGTAACAGTTCTCTGGAACTTTAAGCATCCAAAAGCCCTCAGTGATTCTGTTGAGTTATAGCTAGAGCTTTGAATCTGTTGCCATATAAGTTTTTTTGGTTTTTTATCAATCAGATAGGCCCATATAGAGAAGTTACAGTGTGGTTGTTATAGACAATTAATTCCCAGGGGCAGAATGCAAGAGCACATAAAGATGTGTATGCATTCATATATAGCATCCCCCCAGGAAGCTTCCCTCTAGCTGCTAAAATAAGTTTATTTATCTTACTAAGTTTATTAAGATCTTTGGTTAATTAAATTCTAATTTGTAATGCTACTTTAGAATAGTTTTGTGGGGGGCCTCTGTACACTCGAGGTGGTTTATATGACTCCCTTCTCAATCTTATTACTGTAGAGTCTTCATTTTCTTGAGAAATTAAAGCAACCCAGAATCATGTGGGTGGATATTTGTAGTTCTTTAGGTCTGTGCACTTCAACAACATTTTAAACATTTCAATTTTTTTTTATTGTTCTTAAAGCTGTTCTTAAATTTAAGGATAAATAAGAGATTCTTTTCCCCGTTCATACCTTTTCTTTCCCTGCCTTCCTTTTACAGGTGCCCAAACCAGATTTAATTTTGAACTTCCAAACCACAGACTGCGCTTCACTTCAAAAGTTTCTGCCACTGACATGTCAACCATTCCTCCCTCGGCCAGCCTCAACCTGCCTCCTGTCACTATGTCAGGGAAATATGTCATGGAAGAACATGACACTTACTCTGACCAGATCTGGAGTATTGATGAACTCCCTGCCAAACAAGGCTACTACCTGCAGGGGAACTACCTGCGCTGTGTGGCTGAGGTAGCTCTTGAAGTCATCTTTGAGAACTTATTTCCCTTCTGGTACCATTCTGTCCATGCATCTTTGCATTTTTTTAACCATCTGCCTCCTCCAGAACTTGCAGGTTTACAGGTTGAATCCAAATACTGAAAAACTGGCACGCTGTTTTAGTGTTTTATAGCTTTTTTTTTTGGTGATTAGACATTTTCATAAGTAGAATAATGACATGATGTAGAACCTTAATGATATAAAATTTTCTGCTCGTGTGCCAATTTCCGTAGTTAATTTTCCTATGGAAAATTAGAGATAAAAGGGGATGCTGCTTAAAATAAATTTACTGCTGGGGAAAAGCAGGGCATTTCTGCTAACTAATTCTTTAGTCAGAAAATAATTTGGATATTTGTAATTGAGAATTTTGATGTTTGCAGCTAAAAATAAAAAAACCTAAAAATCTACTGTTTTTAAAAGTAAGATTTGTTCTCAAATGTTCTCTTTCTGCAGGTTGGCTCCTTCGAACATAATCTCACAACTGATCTTTTAAACCATTTAGTATTTGTGCAAAAAGTGTTCATGAAGGAAGTAAATGAGGTCATACAGAAGGTTTCAGGTAAGCAGAACACTTAAAAACTACTTCAAGTAAGATCCTCAAACTTTATTTGATGGCAATATTATGTAGCTCTTGGCATCAGCTCTTGAATTTCACAGACACTCATTTCACCTGTAGCACTGCAAGCAGCAGCAGGAAGCAGATCTGGACTTGGAAATAATAACAGAGGCTCTGGAAATCATTCTAGGCTTATCATAAGCAGGACTTTTATTGGGAAGCAGGATTGTCTGCTGTTCTGGACATCTGTGTCTCTCCATGGTGTGACCTTGGCTAGGTTACTTTTTGTATTCACTTTGTTTGATTTGAACATTTTTTGAGTAATCCTGAAAGGCTGTTACAGAAATGGAGCTAATTTTTAGTGGAAGGATTGATCAACAGCTGGAAACATCATGAGGAAAGGAAGAATAATAAGTGGTAACTAAGTGAAAAGAGTGTCTGTGTGTACATCTGCCTCCTTTCATGTCCCTCTGTGTGTTTGTGTGTGTGTGTGTGTGTGTGTATATATTCAGCTATACAAGTGCAATAAAATGGTGCAGGTCCACATGACATGCCCTTGAGGCAGTCAGAAAATGCAGTGGAGAAAATGGAAAATGCCAAATTCCCTGAAGACTAACAAGAAAACACCCTGATATTTGTTCCAGCCAAAATATATTAGTATTGGGTAGTAAGAAAATGCTTAGGGAAAGAATAAATCTTCTGACAGCTGTCATTATTCTATTAGAATTTTTTTTGGAGAGGAAAATACAGTGCTGAACCAGGAAACCTTTATTAGCTTTTAAAGCATTTCTTATACTCGGTATTTCAATCTCCCCTGCATTTTTATGTGAGCAATTTATTACCAGTGCTGTTTCCCTGCTTTTCCAGACTGTAAATTTGTATTGCAAGTAACAACCTGATGGTTTTTGAAATGTGACTGTTGCCTTCCATATTGAGGTAATTCAGCAGAGACGTGGGCAGGTCAGAAATCCGTGGGTCTGGATGCTCAGTGCAGAACAATGGGGGCAGAAATTGATTTGGAGCAAAATCATTTTTTTTAATGGCTTTTTTAATGGCTCACAATTAGTGTGATGTGCTACAGTGTTTTTTTCTAATTGCAGTTTGTGTTGCACTGAAACATTGTTTGCATATTATCCTTATATAAAACAGTGTAAGTACCAATTACTGAAGGTGAAGTTGCACAGATTGAGAGCTAGTTAATGAACAGAGCAGCCCATAATAATTGCATCTGGAAGTTGAAGACAGTGTTGATTAAAAGAAAATTATCCATCTACAAAATGGAGTGATAAAAATTTATTGTTGTTTGGGGTTTTTCTGAATCTGTGATTTAACTGCTTGTCCTTACCACCAAATAACTGTAATTAGATCAATTGGAGTATTTGGAGAGAATTGATGGTTTAGCATTTTCAGCAGCAAGCTCTTCCTATAAACTAAGTTGGGATGTAGGTAAATCTCAAGGAGAATCAAAACCAGGATTGCTTCTTCAAGGATCCATAACCTGGGATGAAATGTGCCAGGATGAGGAAGTAAACCCAAAAACGAAATAATTGCAGAATACTCTTTCCTCCTGTCATTGAAAAATACTGATATAATTTCAGTTCCTCATTTCATGGAATTTGCATAGTATTTGGTCAAGTGTTAGACTTGTATTGTCAGGTAAGTAGGAGATACATCGGTGCAGGGGACAAATGACACCTTTTTTGAAAAGTAGGTGTCACTCCTTACAGACTTTGAGACTTCCTGTGGGAAGTTTCCCAGGAGGGAGGAGCATGCCTCTGTTTCTTCTTTCTTAGTGGAGAGATATTAAGTATATGTCAGAAGATGAATCTGCACTAATGTCTTCAATACTAATTTGTTTTTATAAACCTTCATGTAGTCACTGTTTAAAATGTGGCTTAATTCATGGTCACCTTTTTATATGTATTGGTTTTAAAATGTTGTCTTTGGTAAAACTGTACCTCTGCATATTTAATGTGTGCAGGAGGGGAGCAGCCAATACCTCTTTGGAATGAACACGATGGCACAACAGATGGAGATAAACCAAAAATTCTTCTTTACTCATTGAGCCTGCAGTTTAAGGTAATCTCATGACAAAACAGTGGTGAGGTTTTTTTCCCCCTTTCTCATCATGTCTCTGGAACAGATGCTCATAACTTTGTACCTTCCTTATCCATTAGGGAATTCAGGTGACAGCTACAACTCCCTCAATGCGTGCTGTGAGGTTTGAAACGGGGTTGATAGAACTTGAGCTCTCCAACAGACTGCAAACCAAAGCAATGCCTGGAAGTAGCAGCTACCTCAAACTGTTTGGAAAATGCCAGGTGGATTTGAATCTGGCACTGGGACAGATTGTTAAACATCAGGTTAGTGCTCAAAATCTTTGCATGTAGTGTTCTTAATAATGTGTGATTAAAAAACTACATAATCAAGCCAAGAGGTTGTTGTACAGTGCTGTTTTTTTGTTTTGGGTTTTTTTTTTCCCATAGTATTAATATCTTAGAAGGGTAAGAGCCTTATTACTGAGTCAAACTCAAAACTTTGTTGATATTGATACAACCTTTAGGAAATTTGAATGAAAGAATAAGATCAGAGGAGATCCAAATGTTGCTAGACCTACATTTTGACCTAGTTTGTCTGTCTTGGTTTGACAGTTGTACCTCTTGTGTTCTTAAACCTGCTGTTACCTGGAGTCACTCGTTCTAGGATGTCAAAGTATTTTGTGCTGCCTAGAAACAACCAGGGAAATATAAATCTTAGGACCTGTAAATCAACTGTCACAGTAGAGGATCTGGATATATAAATAGCTATATTTGTTAACAATTTATGATAAATCAAGACCTTAATGCAAGAATATTGAAGATCCTCAAAGGGGCTTTGGCTAAAGAAGAAAAATAGGAAAGGACACAACTTGTTTTATTTTTATATTTTGTTAAATGCAGTAATTTGGGTTCTTTTCTTCTCATCCCCATCCCTGAACTCTTCTCTGGTGCAAACCTCTCCCTCTTCCCATTTTTTGGAATGCTTTTAGGTTTATGAAGAAGCTGGCTCAGACTTCCATCAAGTTGCCTATTTCAAGACGAGAATTGGATTAAGAAATGCTCTCCGAGAAGAAATCAGTGGCTCATCAGACAGGGAAGCTGTGCTCATTACTCTGAACAGACCCATTGTTTTTGCCCAGCCCGTGGCCTTTGACAGAGGTATTGCAGGCACTTGCTAAAAGTTTGTGTTCTTACTGAGGAAGGGATGTTTTTTTCTCAAAAGGTTGATTATTCAAGATTTAATATATTTCATGTTAAGTAGCTGAGACATTTGAGAGATCTCCACTGTGCCAACAGATTGATAAACCTGTCATCAAACATGCAAAGTTCCACATGTTGAGATGATTCATTTTCAGATGGTTTGGGGGAAGTTGCTGTTGTAAATCCTCACAGATGAATAATGCTGAAAACAGCAGGGCTTTGTCTATTTTAATATATTAACTCTGATGGTAAATGATCAGGTTTGTCCATTTTGTCCTTTTGAAACACGAGCCTCATCACCACACCCTGAATTTACTTGTGTCCATTGTTATACACACTCTGAACTTAAAGTAATGGAGCAGCTGTAAAAAGAAAAAAGAAAATAATTTAGTGAACGTGCATTAGTGTTCTTAACATGTTGATTTCAATTAAGCATTTTTGGTTTCCTCATCAAGCTGTGCTATTCTGGCTGAACTACAAGGCCGCCTATGACAACTGGAATGAACAGAGAATGGCTTTACATAAAGATATTCATATGGCCACGAAGGAAGTGGTGGATATGCTGCCTGGAATCCAGCAAACCTCTGCACAGGCCTTTGGGACCCTGTTCCTTCAGCTGACTGTCAATGACTTAGGAATTTGCCTGCCCATCACAAACACACCCCAGGTAAGCAAAAACGTGACTGCTGGAACTCTGTTAAACCACCAGTTTGTGTGTGGTGTACATGTACAAGAACCAGGTGATATAAGCTTCAAAAGAGGTCTAGTTTATAAAGGAAATATGTGGGGTTTTTTACAGAGAAACATAATTATAGATGTGCATATACAGAGCTAGAAATTAATCAGTCAGTCTGTACACTTAAGATTGTACTTAATTGTACATGTTAAAATAAGCACCAAAAAAAATCACATAAAGATTGAAGCTACTTTTTATCATTGTTCAATCAAGTCATGTGTCATTTTTCTTGGATCCTGGACTTGAGTTCTGTGGTCGTGGGACCATATGGATTATAGCCCTTGATTAAACATGGATTTTTGTTCCTTTTCCAGATAAGCTTGACTCCTGCTGCCCTAATAAATTTATAATGTAGGTGTTGCATTTAGGAAACAGCAATGCAAGGCATTGTGTTGGCAAAGGTGATGCTTTTGAAACTCTCTGCAGAGAAGGAAAAAATACAAGGAAATATAAGTAGGGAGTCAATTAATAGGGAAAGATATAAATGGCATTTAGTAAATGTACAATATCACTGTGACATTGCAGTGACCAGTAAATTCTCCCTGTGATTTTATTTTCCAGTCTAACCACTCTGCAGATCTCGACACTGGCTCTGCTTTAGTCCTGACCATTGAAAGCACACTCATCACTGCCTGCTCCTCTGAGTCTTTGGTTAGCAAAGGTCATTTTAAAAACTTCTGCATCCGCTTTGCTGATGGCTTTGAGACAAGTTGGGATGACTGGAAACCAGAAATAAGAGGAGATCTAGTCATGAATGCATGTAAGTGGGGGTGATTTCATAGTGGACAAGAGTATTTCAAATACAAATCCACTTTTGCCCTTCCCATTGACTTGAAAAACAGCTGAGCTTTCCCAAAATACATGAAAAAAGTCACTATGGCCTTTTGTAAGCAAAATAATGTGGATCTCAAAGGTTATATTCCTTTGTTGTTGTTTTTTCCTTTATTAATAAACTTTGTTGCTCTATATATCGTTGTAATAATTTAAGCTCTATCCGAGAGATGTTGGAAGAGTTGGATGCATTGCTTTTATATAATTTCCTAAGGTCACAGCAATTTTTAATAGTCTAATACAGAAGATTTATATATAGAATGGTGAAAATTCGAAAAATTTTATGGAATTTGAAGTTGATTCAATGCATATATATATCTATACATAATACATATTTAGAATTTTGCATGTTACCAATTAGCTTCACTTCACTAAGTAAGAAAAGTCCTTCATTGGGAAATAAAACTAGAACTCCTATTCTTTAATTATGAAGGCTGAGGGTGGAATTTGAAAGAGCTGCTCTAAACAATTGTGGCTGCCTAATCAGTGTGTTTGCTTTGTGTGCTTCATGTAGGTGTTGTGCCAGATGGCACCTACGAAGTGTGCTCTAGGACAACAGGACAAGCTGCAGCAGGTAATGTGCTTGTTTTAATAAATCAAGTCCTACATTAAAAAAAAAGCATTCATAAAATATGTAATTTAAGTCCTTTAACTGTGTTTTAATTTAATTGGTTGGAGAAGAGTCAGCAATATTTGCCATAAACAGTTAATGTCGTCCTATTGCTTCCTGTCCTAGGGATTGCTAAATCTTCCTTATGCTGAGGCTTTGCACCCTGAGCTGCCATCCCTCTTTCTCCTCTCCCAGAAAAAGCTTCTCTTTTTCCCAAATTCCCTCTCTGCCCAATCTGAGTAGTCTGGACTTTGTCCAGAGCATTCAGAAATAGCTGTCAGTCTCTGTATTGGTCATACTTCCATCTAGAAGGAAAACCAGCATCTTGTGTAGTCGTGCTTAGAGCAAGGTCTGTATTTTGGTGTTGAAAAGTGGCACTCAGAAAAATCCTGGGCAGACAGGATATTCACTAGGCACACAACACATATAATATACATATAATATAACATCTTCCAGCATCATTGTTCAAGACTTGAATAAATAGGTCAGCATTTGTACATGCAGAAAGATATGGTTTTTGTTTCTTACTGTTAGAAATTCTGTTTTTAAATAGTGTACTTGCCTGCATTTGTATGAGCTGAAGAAGGAGATGCTCTTAACTTGCTCTGAAGGGAATGTATTTTCATTAGGTCTGCCTATATCACTTGTTAAAGAAATACTGTGAAGTATTTTCATCAAGCATTTCAGTTGAGAATGTGTTTTTCTCAGAATGGGCAGAAAAGACAGTTCTTTGTAACTGACAGACACTGTCTTGGCTAATGAGTACATAATTCACTATGGGGGATTTTTTAAAAGAGGAAAAACTGTTTCAACTGTTGTTTGGGGTTTTTTTAACGCAGAAAGTAGTAGTGCTGGAACCTGGACACTGAATGTGTTGTGGAAGATGTGTGGTATTGATGTCCACATGGACCCAAATATTGGGAAAAGACTGAATGCTTTGGGCAACACCCTCACAACACTGACAGGAGAGGAAGATATTGATGACATTGCTGACCTCAACTCTGTGAACATAGCTGACCTTTCAGATGAGGATGAAGTTGACACTATGTCTCCCACTATACATGCAGTAAGTGCATCCACCAAAATAAGTGCTACTGATTGGAAAAATCTTCTGTCAAATGGAAGGGTTTTAGTCTTGAGTCCAGCATCCCAGTCTTTATAGCTCATACAAGTCTTGTTGCAAATAAGAAACGTTTGTCTGTGTGTGTTTTCTAACTCCATATTTCAAAGGCAACAAGTTGCAGATCAAATTCCTACTGGTATTATGTGAAAATATTGATCTGGATTTGAAAACATGCAGGGGACACAGCAGCTAACCTCAGGTACCTGAACTTTAAAGCTGTGGCTTTCTTCTAGGTTTTCTTCACAGGAGAGTAAGTTACTAACATGAAAAAATTTTCTACTCCATATATTGCTGACTTTGCTTTTTGGTGTTCTACAAAACCATTTTAACAGCTGTTCCTTAATGTCTCTTGCCTGCTGACAGAGGAAACATTACCCCAGCACACTAATGCTCCTGTTTGTTGTTCAGAAATCAGGTGGAGGTTCCTTGGGTGGAGATGCACGCAAGCTCACATTTGGGCAGCGGATTGTAAATCACCTGCTGGGTTTGAGCCCCCCAACCCACCGCTACTCTGTTCCTGTAGAATTTCTCTTGGGCTCAGCGAAGCGGGATTTGCTCCAGCCTAGCAGAGCACATATGAAAGCAGGCAGATCCTGCTCTTGGGGACATGTATGTAGTAGTTACAGTGTGTCTAACTGAATGATGGGCTTTGGATCACTGGAAAAAAAATCCAATCAGCTGCCTATTCACATGACTTGATTCTTTTGCATGCACTAGTCCAAATTTGAAGGTGTGAAATTCACTTTGCCTGTTGTTCAAAATGTACTGATGTCCAATTTTTGAGGAGGGCATTAATGAACTGTTTATTTTAAACAGGAGATCGTTGATCACCGGCGGCAGGGAGCTTCCAGTATCCAAACTGGAGAACAGCGAGGAAGGAAATTTATGAAGCGTTTAGTTGATATTAGAGAGCTCAATGAGCAAGCCAAAGTCATTGATGACTTGAAGTAAGTGGGGTTTGCTTTACATTCTTAGCATACATCTTGTGGCACTGTTAGGGTTAAGTACAAATTGTTGCTTTTATTTAAAAATAAGATTGTCTTTTAGGATTCCAAAAGCAAATGCAATATAAGCAAGTACTTTCTCAAATCTCTCTGCTTGTTCCAGATTACTCTCTGTTTTTCTGACTCTGCATTTTAATGACTGATTTACAATCCTTTTCTGATTGATTCAAAGTCATAGCTCCATCTTGATTTATTATTATGCTGATTACTTAAGCAAAATATATTACTTTGGAACTGTAATAAGCTTAGGAAGAACAAGAAAAATATATTTACTTTTTTCTTTACATTTTGTATATCTAGTTTTCAAGATAAAACTTGACAACTTTCTTATACTGTACTTGAGAGAACCCTTAAGAAAAAAATTATTTCAAATTTCACGAATTTCATCTGACCTTCTGTGTATTTTATTAATAGTATTTGCAAACATGGTTTGTTGGGCTTGTTTGGGCTTTTTTCCCCAAGATAGACAGCATAAATGGATCTATTTGGGATGGGAATACAGAGGTTGGTAGTTAGGTGTTAAATAATGCAAAGGGATACACATTTTACTGTTTGTACTTGAAATGAAATTGCCGTCACCATTCAGAGGGAAATTTCATCTGAAATTAGGATTTTAGGTTGAAAATTTGTTTGCATACTTGTGTGGCTATGTTTGACACTGGTCATAAGTATTGGGACAAAAGAGAAAATGGGCTAATTCCCAGAGAAAGCATTCTTACAACACAGATTTTTTGAAATTATGGAAGTAATATCTGTAAGATAACTCAACCATGCTTTATCTCCAGGAAATTAGGTGCAAGTGAAGGGACCATAAACCAAGAAATTCAGCGCTATCAGCAGCTGGAGTCGGTGGCTGTGAACGACATCCGCAGGGATGTCCGCAAAAAGCTCCGTAGATCCAGCATGAGGGTGAGCAGGATGAAGCTACTTTGGGAATATTGTGGCATTTAATCTCCCAAAAACCCTTTTACTTTGCTGGCATTCCCATGTACAGTAGCATTTTAACTTGGCAGAGTTTTTCTCTGTGTTCTCAGTTGTTGCATTTCAATGTTGTTTTTGGTTTAGGCTGCCTCCTTGAAGGACAAGTGGGGTCTGAGCTACAAACCCAGCTACAGCCGATCTAAGAGCATTTCAGCATCAGGGAGGCCACCTCTGAAGAGAATGGACAGAACAAGGTGAGCCTCTGGCAATTTGGGACCTGAGATAGCCACAACAGCACATGGAACAGGGAAATGTTGGACTTGGGCCTGAAGAGTCCTTTTACCACAGGCAGCAGCTGTTTGTGGTGGAACTCGATAGGAGGAGCTAATTTTCCAAGGCAGGCATGTTCTGAAAAGCAATTTTTCTTCATGTTTTGCAACCTCTGAGAAGATTTCACTTCTACAACACCTTGGGGTTTTCTGCAGCATCCTGTTTTCAAAACATATTGAAGGAAGGTATATAAGGAAAATGGCATCTTGTAATAATTTTATTTTCTACCCCTGATTTACGATCATCTGCCTTCTGAAAGAGCTTTTGTAATAAGAAGAAAGAGAGGTGCTTTTTTGTCTGTGAATAATTGTCCCATGTGGCAGATTACAAATAGCTTATTTTTCTGTAATTTCTGCATGTTGGCTGAGGATTGAAAAGCTTGCATAGAGAAATTAGCAGAGAGAGAATACTGGCCCAAGTCATGTGCAGCTTCCTTCTCTTTTTTTTTTTTTCCCTCCTTCCTTTTATGTACCCAAGTTCTTCAATTACCATTTTATATCTTCTTCCCTAAAAGAGTAATAAGTATGACCTCAAATTTGTGTAGTTAAATGTTTGCATGACCCTAAAATCCTGTCATCCAACTCAAGAAACTGTTTTGGTTTTGTTTTGCTTGCAGTTCTCGACTGGGAGACAGTGAAGACCTCCCAGATATCCGTGTGGATGCTGCATCCCCTGGGCCAAGAGTAACCTTCAACATACAAGATTCTGTAAGAATTCCTTTATATGCCATATACTTGTATTTCCATTTGGTCATCAGTTCATGAGATAATTATATCCAGGCAAATCTGAATTGTGTCTGCTTCTGTTAGCATTTGCCTCCAATTACAGATGGGTTTTCAGAAGATTGTCTTCTAACAAAATAAGTCTGATGTGTTCTGGTTTCTTGGCACGCAAATTAACTGACTTATGAGAGGAAAAATATGTTCAAATGGCTTGATTTGTTTTTTTGGCTCACACAGTAGTCATTTCTGGGAATTTTTGTCAGAGGTGGGCAAAAAATCACCAGGGGTTTTTTGGTGTTTGAATAAATAGAGTTTTGGAAATGGATATTAGTCAGTTTGCTGGAGCTCTACAGGTGTATCCTTCTCACTGTTTGAAATGGATTGTTGAATTGATTTGGGGTTGTTTTATTTATTTATTTATTTTTTTTTTGCTATGTTTTCTCATTTTTAAAATGTTTATTTTGCATGCCTGAGATTATTATAATTGTTTTAATTTCTATATTTTTTTCATTTCTATTAAGTTGAATCAAACAGCTTTGGGGATTACACAACAATCCAGCAGTCCAGGGGAAGGGTATTTTCAGGTATTTCTGAGCAGAAACAAGTATTCTTTGCCAGAGAACTAATTTATCTCATAGGGAGCTGCTTTTCAATATTTCATCTCTTTTGCACTCAACTAAACAGAATGTATGTATATCGAGCTTGAAAATCTTTAAATACATCAACTAAGCAGAGGAACATGATTTATTGTTGATGAACAACAATCAAAGTGCTTCTACACCCTTATGTAGACTTAAAACTTCTTGTAAAATGAATTACTGGCTTTTTGCTTAAAGACTGAGCAAGGCTGATGTAAAGTGACCCAAGTGTAGCCTTGAAATGTGCTTTAGAGGATGATTTTAGTGTGTGCCTTCACCTGTTACATGATGTTCCAATGTAACAGCAGTCAACACTGGTACAAAATAATTACCAGGTGGGAGGACATCTTCTCACACTCTGATTTCTATTAAAATTCTTATATTTAATGTGGAATGAGACATTTTCAAATAATAGCAAGTAGGGAATGTTCCAAAACTTAATATCCTGAGAAGAAGTGGAGTTTTTTAACTGCTTTCAAAACCACATTTAGGGAAAATAGTATTTTTCTTTAAAAAAATATTAGTCAAGCAAACCCAAAACTCAAATCGGGGAAGGCAAAACCAAACAAGCAAACAAAAAAAATCAAACTGAAGAGACAGTAATGTACTTTTTCTCCCTTCTGTCTCTTTTCATGCTCCCAGGAAATAAATTCCTTTTTCTGAGAGAATGGTGGAAATGATACCTGGGAATGGGCTTTGCAGATTTAAATATGTTCATATTTAAAAGTTACCCTACCTATTGTTGTTGTTATGCAAAGCCCAGTTAGCTTAGGTTTTGTTGGCATAGCAAAATACTATCAATCACTTAGAGGTATCAAATGTTGAATATTTTTTAAAAAATGTGTTTCCCTGACATCATGCCAGTTGCTAAGCAGAACTCTAATTTGAATTTGCAGACAACTGCATAGCTCTACAGTGACACTGCATAGGAAGTGCTGGTGTTTAACACTTGTAGGTGCTTTTCACAGACATTTTAAGAATTTAATGTTGGAACATGGCTTGTGGTATGGTTTTTGTGGGAAGCAGGAGGCTCCTTTAGGACATTTGGTTCTGTGCTCAGGCTGGGATGCCCGGGGGCAGTGCTGTACATTCTGTGTAGTACCTGCACTAATGCTTCCTGCAAGTCATGGGCACTTGGGCTGCCTTCTGTCCTTTTCTTTCAAAGCAGCTCTTAAATGGCAATGAAATGTTTCCTTTTAAATTGATAAGAGCATGATGGGTCTTTGTCTAGCAGGCTGAGCTCAATCACTAGGCAATGGCAAAGGTCTCCCCACCAAGCTTTCATTCTGTTCTTTTTCATAATCCCTCTTGCAATTCCTTTACCTGCTCTCTCCATGTTATGAGTAACTCAGAAGTGAGAGTTCCTCATAGCACTCTTGCTTCTTTATTTCCAGATCTACCTACTGCATTCTCGGTGGAAATCATATCTGTGGAAATTTACTATCTTTTTGTCTTTTCACAATCAGTTTCCAGAGGAGACAGAAATGGACCTTTTGTCCGTAACTATTGATGGTCCCTCCCATTACTCATCTACTAGTGAAGGCTCATGCTCGGTATTTGGTTCACCCAAAACTCCAGTAGTCTTCTCACCCGGCATTCCCTTCCAGCCTGAAGAGGGACGCCGGGACGACAGCTTATCCTCCAGCAGCGAGGACTCGGACAAGGACGATGACCATGACAGGGAGAGGACCTATTTTTATAGGAAACCACCGTAAGTAAAGGTCCTGAGGAACAGCACAGAAATTGAGAAGACACCTCAATATACTTCCCAGTACTCTGCAACTTGAAATATTCGATTGAAAGCTATGCATTCTGTTGCTGACAAAGTACTGAATGCACTCAAGTGTGTGTGTGTGTGGAAGGCAGGTGAGGTGGTGCTCACTAGAGGTGGCTGTGTGAGAAGGAGGGATCCTGATTGGGAAAGGAGGTAACTGCTACAATTTTCAGAATAAAAGAGCTTGGAAAGTGAGGCTTTTGAGGGTGTAGTTCCAGAAACTGGATGTGATAATGTGGATACTTAGAAATACGAAATTTATTGGGTATATATATTTTTGTTCCTTGTTTGACTGAGAATTGAAGAAAAGCTTAGTTTTTGTACTACCCTATATTAAGAAATGTAATGTGTTAATGCAAGAGGGGTCACTGTATTGCTGCATATCAAATAAGGCCTTTTCCAAAAAGGTTTTTATAAGCTGATGCACTGAGTGTAGGCATAGTTTGGGAATGTCTTGTAGCTCCTGCTGAGGTCAGTACCGTGCTGATAGCTGTCCCCTCCCTGTGCCTGTGCAGGAGCACCTCTCGCAAGAAAGCCACGGGCTTTGCTGCTGTGCACCAGCTGTTCACCGAGCGCTGGCCAACCACACCCACCAACAGGAGTGTCACTGGCACCACCACCGAGAGAAACATTGACTTTGAGCTTGATATCAGGGTTGAAATTGATTGTGGCAAGTGTGTGCTGCATCCCACGATGCTCCAGCAAGAGCACGATGACATTAGTTTGAGAAGGTAAGAAATTTGTGCATTAGTTCACTACCAGCACGTTTTTTTTAGCAACTATCACTGCTTATTAACAATAAGATGCAATTGTTCTGGCCCAGTGGAAAACAGGAAATAAATAACATGAGTATATTTATTTCAGGAGCTATGATCGGAGTTCCAGGAGTTTAGATCAAGAATCTCCTTCAAAAAAGAAGAAATTTCAAACTAATTATGCATCTACTACTCACTTGCTTGCTGGCAAGAAAGTGCCATCATCTCTACAGACAAAATCCAGTGATGTGGAAACAACAGTATTTTATATTCCTGGGGTGGATGTAAAGGTAAGATGAAGGGATAACTCAGCAGAGAGGCAGTGGCAATGTTTTCTCTCCAACGCAGTCAAACTGTACACTCCCTTGTTTTTTTTAATCGTTTTTGTATCCTAGCATGAAAGGTTCTCAACAGCAATGTCCTTGTATTTTGTCATTTGAAATCCTAATGGAGTATGAACCTGTCATTGCTGAAGGAAAACTTCATGCAATTCACTTGGGGCAATGCCATAAATCAAATGCTCCTCACTTGTTACAGCTTGGCTTTTTCAGTCTTTCAGTGTGGGAGGACTGTGTGTGAGCATGTCCTGTATTCCAGGCATCTCCAGGGATAACAATTATACCTCAGGTCCTGCTTGTAGTCAAATTCAGGAATAACTAAACATTCTCTACAGCTTTTGTTATGTTCTGTGTTTTCAGTAATAGTCTACTCTGCACATAGAGGAGGTGTGAACTGTTGGAATATCTTAGTTTGATTTTTTTTTTTTTTTAAATGCCATTTTCTGTATGCCTGAACAGTTCCTCCACATATCAAGACAGAAAGGAGGCTGTGTGCACAGGTGGCACAGGATGGATGTGATGTAACAGAGAGAGAAATAAGCTTTAGGCACTGTTACTAAATAATGAATTTCCTCTTTCTCTGTGTTTCATTGAATTTTTAGATAGTTCATTAATTTATCTATTTTTTGTACTTAATTTTCAGTTATTTTTATGTATAGGATATGAATTGGAATGTAATATATCTTAGAATATTTCTGTAAAAAATGAGAAGAAATAAATTTTGGAGGGACAGAGTGACACCAAATGGCTTTACAGAAATTGAGCTCTTCATGTGAAATAACTTGATCTTGCTTTGCTTTCCAGTTGCACTACAACTCCAAAACTCTAAAGACTGAATCACCAAACACTTCTCGAGGATCCTCTTTGCCACGCACCCTTTCCAAAGAGTCCAAGCTGTATGGTATGAAAGACTCTGCCACATCTCCTCTCTCTAGCACTATCCACAGCAAGACTAACACCTTACTTCCTCCCCAGCCCCCACCCATCCCATCAGGTACTTATAGACAAATTTCCTGAGCCTTTCATGGATAGATTTTTCCATGGTGTAATCTACTGCCTTTAGATCTGGCCACACTTCACCTGGAGCACTGTATTTATCCAGGCTTGACTTTGGCTACAGAAACCTGACCCCAGGAGCAAGAATGCAGTTCATAAAGTTGCATTTTTAGACATGGTTTGCCAAACTAATCTCAGTAATATTTTTGACGTAGTTACCATAGCCCAGCGTTGGGCTGTCACTGCCTTCTCCCAGTTTTCATTTAAAAAAGAATGTTGGAAAGCAGAGTGTAAATACCTGTAAATATCTCACCCATTGAAGGCCTTTAAATAGCTATGATTTGGAGTAAGATGAGTTCTAATACAAGCTTTGTTTTGTCTCCAGTGATTCCTGTTTTCAAACAGGAGGCTCTTGTTACCTCATGTCAGATCCAGAGGCATGTAGATTGCATCTCCAGTTTCTGAGACATTCACTCTTCTCTCCTTTGGTATTTAAATATTGTTTTAAACACAAAACCAAAATTTTGTCACAACTTGATCACCAAGCAAACTGAATAACTGAAAGTTGTGCTTGTGGATTTTGCCACCAGAGATGCTGGGAGAGAACAGTGAAATGGGGATACCTTCCTCAGTTCTCCATGCTGTTGAACCATTAGCTCTTACTCCTTTAGGTGGCCATCCTCTTTATGATTACCAGATGGTGTGTAGTGGTTTATGCTACTTCTCTTCTGTTCTCTATCTTCTTTTTAATCTTTTCCTTTGAATTCTTACCACATCATGTCCAGGTAGAGTCTTGCTGGTTAAATGTCTGTAAGTTCTGCATTTGGTGTGGAAATGGCACTTGTATGATAATATAAATGTCTCCCAGACTAGAGGATGGCTTGTAATTGCTTTATTTCTTTATGCATTGTATTTCTGTAAGTATTTATCATTACTGAATGGTTTTGAAACACATTTATTTTTTACAATAGTACTCTGGAAACCATTCCCCTGGAACGAAGACCAACTTGTTGTATTGCCTTTGGTTTGCAGTAAAAATAAAATAGGACAAAGTAGTCAGAGACATGAGGCAGAATATTTTGCACAGAATGAAAAGTCAGTGCTTTCTTTTTATCAAATGAAAGGATTTTTCATCTGGTTTAGTAGTTAACTTTTGTTTTTCTTGGAGAATTTTAAATCTGTCTCCATTGATGTATATTCATTCTAATAACTAAATTGCATAAAGACAGTAAGTGAACTGGTACTAATATTTTCTCTGCATATTAATATTTTGATGAGCATGGATTCAAGAGCCCTCTTCCACGAATTTACAAGACAGTAACCTTTTTATTAGTTTACACTCTGACTAGTTCCCAGCTTTCAAAAATTATGGTTTAGAATCTCCAGTCATTCTTTGCATAAATACAGAAGGACCTGCCATTTTCAGTTTTAATTTTTTGATGTATTTTCTCTATTTAAACTGACATTCTTTCCAGACTTGTGCATTTACTTTTCCTAATGCCACTTTCATTTCCAGTCACCTTTGGTTACTTTGCACTGGGTATTTGGAGAAGAGCTGTCTGTGTTTGCTTTCAGTGCTATTTTCTAAAAAGTGAGGTTTTGACAATGACAACAGAGTGCTTGGTCAAGAACACGAGCAATGGAATTTCTGCAGTTAAGCCTTACAGACTAATGGTATTTTTACAAAGTGAAAACTTAATTTCTTCTAGCACACCTGATCTAGATCTCTTTGGATGATAGAGAAAATTAGAGGATACTTCTTGATAAGTTATGAACTGTCTTCTAATGTTTATCAGTTACTGCTCAGTGGTATGACCTTAGACAAGTGTGTTTTCTCAATGTTGCAGCCAAAGGGAAAGGAAGTGGTGGAGTGAAAACTGCTAAACTGTATGCATGGGTTGCACTCCAGTCACTGCCAGAGGAGATGGTGATCAGCCCCTGCCTCCTGGACTTCCTGGAGAAAGCCCTTGAAACCATTCCCATCACACCCATTGAAAGGAATTACACAGGTCAGTTGTGTGTAGCTGTGTTCTGGCACTCTGCTGTTTTGGTATTGAGCTGCTTTTCCCTTCAAGTTCCACTTTCTAATGAGTTGTTGTACTTGTTAAAAGCTGTTAGTTCCCAGGATGAAGACATGGGACAGTTTGATATACAAGATCCTTTAGAAGAGTCCACAACATCCTTGGTGTCATCCTCAACATCAGCATACTCCTCCTTCCCTGTAGATGTGGTGGTTTATGTAAGAGTCCAGGTGAGGTTGTAACTCAACATTCAGGATAGTATCTTGTTTTAGTCAGTCTTTTAAACAATCCATGCTTCTAAGTTTGATTTTCAAAGAATAAAAACTCAAGAGTCCCTTCTGAATGCTTTATTTTCTTTCTGCCTGTCAGCCCTCTCAAATCAAGTTCAGCTGCTTGCCAGTATCCAGAGTTGAATGTATGCTGAAGCTGCCTTCCCTGGATCTTGTTTTCTCTTCCAACCGAGGAGAGCTGGAAACTTTAGGCACAACATACCCATCAGAAAGCGTGTCCATTGGTGGCAGTACTCCCCAGAGTGGCTCAAAGAATTCAGCTGGTAAATCTGGAGCACCAGGTAATACCTGTGTGAATGTTGATCCTATACACAGAATATTTAAGCTATATTGCTGCTAGAGGGCGTAACTTGAAGTGTATTTTGTCTGTTTAATACTGCTAACATTAAGTATTATTTCATGTTGGAAAATGCTTTCAAAATCTGATTTTTGCCCTAAAAATTGACTCCAGGTTCATCTCCTGGCCTCGGCAGCCCTCTGGGCAGAACAAGGCACAGCAGCAGCCAGTCAGATCTGACAACTTCCAGCAGCAGCTCTTCAGGCCTGAGCTTTACTGCCTGCATGTCTGACTTCTCCCTTTACGTGTTCCATCCCTATGGAGCTGGAAAACAAAAATCAGCAGTTACTGTGCTAACCCCTGGGTCGGGAGCCTTGGGTAAGGAACAAGGTTTTGTTTGCTTTTATGAATATTATTCGAGTGTGGCTTGGGTTTCTAAACTGCAGATTTGAAAGGATCACAGAAGATGAAAATGTTTCCTTCCTGCTCCTAGGGAACGTGGATGAGGAGCCAACTTCAGTCACTGGCCGGAAGGACTCCTTGAGCATCAACCTGGAGTTTGTGAAAGTCAGCCTGTCACGGATCAGGCGTTCAGGAGGCTCCTCCTTCTTTGAGAGTCAGTCTGCAAGCAAAGCTACCAGCAAGATAGACACCACATTGATCAACATATCTGGTAAATGCTTCTTTAATTTTAATCACAGCTAATTAGACAACTGCTGTTCCAGTGATGGACTTTACTCTTGGCAGCTTTTTTTTGTAACATCTATGTGCTTATTTTTTGCCCCTGCGCATGGGATCCTGACGTCCTGGGCAAACAGCAGGATGGTTGTGATTAATCTGCCATTAAAATCCTCCCATGAGGAGTCTGAAGCAAGCAGGACTCAACATAATCTGTGTTCTTATGTTCATCATGTCTTTATGAAATGCATTTGTATCTAATGTTTGGACTTGGAGAAATGGCAACACCTCAGGAAAACTACTTTTTCATGACAGCAAAGACAATACTGCTAGGTGAAGGAGAATTTGACTTGGTTACCAAAACCTGTTATTCCTGGGAATTGACAGCTGTGTGCATGTGTTTTTTCAGCTGTCTGTGACATAGGATCTGCTTCTTTCAAATACGACATGCGCCGCCTCAGCGAGATCCTGGCCTTTCCCAGGGCTTGGTACAGGAGAAGCATTGCCAGAAGGCTTTTCCTGGGTGATCAGACAATAAATCTGCCAGGTAGGAGACTGCTGCTCATCAGAAAAAAACTTGTTATACAAAGAGTTGCACTAGGAATTTTTTAAGCGTTTATTATCTGTGTCACATCACTGAATAAATGTAAATGTATTATGGAGTCACTCAGAGACGTTTGATAGGAAATCCTAGATGGAAGAAGTGAAAAATTGCTGATGTAGGTTGCTGAATAATTTAAAGAGCATATTCCAAGGCCAGGTTAGATGGGGCCTTGAGCAACCCAATCTAATAAATGGCATCCCTGATATATTTAAGATCTCTTATCCCAGATGATATTTAAGGTCCCTTCCCAAACCATTCTCTAGTTCTATGATATATAAACAAGAAAAAAAGAAAACTTTTAGTTATGTTAAATGAAATACATTTGGACACTCTCACAATACTTCTTAGTATACATGAAGATATGGTTAGACACAAATGAAATAGTTTTTCTGTATTTCCTGTGCTGGTTTTTCTCCAGTAGCATCAGGCCCTGGCACACCAGATTCAATTGAAGGAGTGAGCCAGCACCTTTCTCCTGAATCCTCAAGGAAAGCATACTGCAGGACATGGGAGCAGCCCTGCCAGTCTGCTTCCTTCACTCACATGGCACAGTCACCCAATGTTTTCAGTGAGCACAGTGCCAGCAGCAGTATGTCACCTGGGACAGCATCTCACAGCCTCAAGTCTCCAGCTGTCACAAGATCCAGGAGTGTGTCTGACTCCTCAGTGCCTCAGAGAGGTGAGTAGATAATGACTTGAATTTTTTTTAAAAGTGTTTCCATCAGTTGTATGAAAGAAGAATGTCATTACTGCTTTGAAAATATTCTTTTCCACAGTGCCTGGCACTGGAGAGTCAATGGCTAGAGAAGGGAAAATTGCCTAAAATGGATGAATGAAAGTTGCTATCATATTTTCCATAAAATTTCCCTATCTGTGAGTTAATTTCTGTGACAGTTAAAGCAATGCATATTGCAAATCCTCTAGTTCTCACTGATCTTCTCTTGTGGTTTTGTGCTCTTTATAAATATTTATAAATATTGTGCTTGTTGGTCCTTTTGTAATATTCAAAATGGGTATGTTCTGCCAGTTCTTCCTAGCGTGTAGAATAATTTAAATGTTTGTCTACTTTTTTCTTTTTCTGTTTAGATACTCTCTCAAAAACATCAACTCCTTTTAATAAGTCAAATAAAGCTGGAAGCCAGCAAGGAACACCGTGGGAAACACTGGTTGTATTTGCCATGAACCTAAAACAATTAAATGTTCAAATGAACATGAGCAATGTAATGGGCAATACTACGTAAGTATAAAATCTGATCAAGCATGTTTTAACAGGGGTTGGTGTTTTGGGGACAAAAAAACATTTTTTTTCCCTACAGACTGTTAACAATCTGATGCCTCATAGCTTTAAAATTCTACCCTTTTCAGTTTTGAACTGAGAATCCCCTCATGAATTCTGTAGTTGCTTAATCCTGAAGTCACATATGCCTAAACCACATTATTTACTGCTTTCCAGTAGATAATACTCAGTTTCTCTTTTGACAACCAGCAAAGTTGTTGTCTATTTTCACCTCTGTTCTAGGTGGACCACCAGTGGTTTGAAAAGTCAGGGCCGTCTGTCTGTGGGAAGTAGCAGAGATCGGGAAATCAGCATGTCTGTGGGCTTGGGAAGATCCCAGCTGGACTCCAGAGGAGGAGTTGTTGGAGGTACCATAGATGTTAACACCCTGGAGATGGTGGGTAAGTTGGAAAGATTTCTGCTGTCAGCATATGCTCCAGTCAGTAAAGGTGATATCACTGGAAAAACTGATTTTCATCTCTTTAATTCTGTATTTCTATATTGCTTTGGTTCTGTTTCAGCTCATATTTCTGAACACCCAAACCAACAGCCCAATCATAAAATTGAAATTACTATGGGTTCCACTGAAGCACGTGTTGACTATATGGGATCCAGTATCCTAATGGGCATCTTCAGTAATGCTGATCTTAAACTGCAGGATGAATGGAAAATTAATCTGTATAATAATCTGGATTCGAGCATGACTGATAAAAGGTAATAATATTTCCTGTGGTTATAATGTATGATGTTTGGTAATGTCAGATGCCTTCTGCCCAATACTGTGAACCAGAAATCTGTCTGCTAGAATGCAAAGGGTTCATTGCTTGGTTTTGTGGTTTTTTTTTAATTGTCAGTAGGAAATATATGAACTGCTAATTTTCATGCTATTTTTAATATCTAGTGAGATATTTGTCCATGGGGACTTGAAATGGGATATCTTCCAAGTGATGATTTCAAGGTCAACTACACCAGACCTGATAAAAATAGGAATGAAGCTCCAGGAGTTCTTCACTCAGCAGTTTGATACAAGCAAGCGAGCTCTGTCCACCTGGGGGCCTGTCCCTTATCTCCCTCCCAAGACAGTGGCCAACAACTTAGAGAGAACCTCACATGAGCAATGTAAGTGCTACCAAAAAAATAATATGGTTCCCAATTTAAATGTTTTAATTGCAAAAATTACCTAGGAGACAGTGTCAATGAAATAGATAAGAAAGTATCACTCATAATTCCATGTTTTACCAAAAATATCAACATGCCAGCATTTTTTTCTGTATCTTGCCTGAAGTTTGTTGTTTGTGTTTGCTCTGCAGTGTTGGATGCAGCCCATCATCGTCACTGGCCAGGAGTCCTGAAGGTGGTATCTGGGTGCCACATCTCCCTGTTCCAGATGCCCCTGCCAGAAGATGGGATGCAGTTTGGAGGATCCATGAGCCTGCATGGCAACCATATGACCCTGGCTTGTTTTCATGGACCTAATTTCCGCTCAAAATCATGGGCCTTATTTCACCTGGAAGAACCCAATATTGCATTTTGGACAGAAGCCCAGAAAGTTTTGGAAGATGGTAATTTAAACTGTTTACTCATTTCTCTAAATGTTTTTAAATGAGTTTTTAATAAAGTATTAATACATAAGAAGAAATCAAAGTAAAATTTATTTTCTTTGTCTGAATCAAGACTATTTCCCAAAAATATACCACTTATCTAAAAATAATCTATTTACTCCACATCTTTACCACAATTTTCTTTATCTGTGGAATAATGCAAAGTACATTTTCAAATGTACTGGATATGCTCCCTGATAATGAGCCTACCAAGTGGATTGCCTGTTTTTTTAATAGCGTGTGTATTTGTGTAGTCCTTTCTAGCTGTATGATGAATTTTGATGATCTTACTGTTTTTATTTTTCTTAATATTGTGAAGTTTTATTGTCTGTAGTTACTGAGAATTTAATTTCTCTGTTGTTTTCAAGCCTTATACCTGGTTAAATTTCACTGGCACACTAATTATTCATACTAAAAACCTGTAGGAGAATGAGAGAAAATTCCACTAACCTCACTAAGAGACTTTTACCTTTTTTTTTTTTTTTTTTTTCTCTCCCACCCCACACTGCCCACACTTTCAATGCAGGTACCAGTGAACACTCCACGTACATCGTGCAAACCCTGGACTTTCATTTGGGCCATAACACCATGGTGACCAAGCCCTGTGGGGCCCTGGAAAGCCCCATGGCCACCATCACAAAGATAACACGGCGCCGGCACGAAAATCCCCCCCACGGGGTCGCCAGTGTGAAGGAGTGGTTCAATTATGTGACAGCCACCAGGAATGAAGGTTAGATCAGGTTCATTCAGCCTGGGGGTTGATGGAGCTGTTGAAAAGCTTCTTTATCTCGAGTGTATGAACAACAAATTGATTGACTTTTTCTAGCCAAGCTTTTGGGAGCAGAATAAAAGATAAAATCTCCTCAATAATCAGACAGCAGCAGTTTTACAAGTGGCTGTTCTTAACTTTTTTTTGCCTTGTCATGATTTAACATCTCCCATTGTTCGTGTAGAGTTGAACCTGCTTCGGAATGTTGATGCCAACAACCCAGAGAGCAGCACGACAGTGAAAAGCTCAAGCTTGTTAAGTGGCTTCAGGGGTGGCTCCAGTTACAACCATGAAACTGAAACCATCTTTGCGTTGCCAAGGATGCAGCTGGATTTTAAATCTATTCATGTTCAAGAGCCCCAAGAGCCTTCATTACAAGGTGCAGTAAAACATAATTTGGTTTTTTCTTGGTCAAAAAACTATTTCTTGCAAATTAGGACTTAAAGGCAAAGGTAGTGTGCTGATAAGAGGGTTTAATTTGAGACTTGCTTCAGATCTGCAAGAAAAAAATAACATTGGGTAAAATGTAGAGGGAATTATTTTGAGAGTGAAGATCTAGTGCAGAGACTAGTTGCTGAGGAAAAAAACTTATTAAGAGAAATGAAAATTTCAGCTACGCTGGATGTTTTCATAGGCTTGGTTTCCTTATGTTTATTAAAATGTTAACTGTGGTCCTTCCTCTCAAGAGTTGCTGGTTCAATGAAAAATATAAATTTCAAATTATTTGCATTCAAATTCTATATACTTTTAGACTTACTTTATGTCCTTGTAAATGTATTAATATTATTTTTATCTGGCTGTAGATACAAGTGTTAAACCAAAGGTGGAATGCAGTGTAGTAACTGAATTCACAGACCACATCTGTGTGACTATGGATGCTGAACTGATCATGTTTCTGCATGACTTAGTGTCTGCTTACCTAAAAGAAAAAGAAAAAGGTGAGTTGTTCATGAAGTACCACTTGTCTGACAATCTGCAGTTGTCAGATTATTTGACAGTAAATATACTCTAAGTCACAATCTTGCTCCTATTTTGACACCTGGTCTTTAGCTTTCTCTTTGTAAGATGGTATAGGCAGATGAACGCTATTTTAGGAAGCTTTATTATTGTTATTGCAATCCTTTCATCAGTGGAATCTTTTTAAGACATGCATTTTTCTGATTTCAGAATTATTTACTTTTCTACCTCAGTACATTCAGTTGCAGCATTCAAATTTGGCATGTTCATTCTTAAGCATTATGCAGAAATCTGGAAACATGAGGTGGTTCTCATTTTGTTGAGACTTGTGCTTACATTTTATTTAAGCTATTTACAAAAGGAATCCAAGTGAGCTGCTCACGACTGACTGGTGATTTTCCCTCTTTCCCCTTTGCAGCAATTTTTCCTCCTCGCATCTTGGCTGCTCGTCCAGGGCAGAAGAACTCTGTTGGTGTCCTTGAGGACAGCTCCACTGACAAAGAGGCAGAGGAAAGCATTACCTACACTACAGTTGACTGGAGGGAGTTTATGTGCAATACTTGGCATTTGGAACCCACGCTCAGGTAAGAAGCACCTTTAGCTGCAGTCTCTTTGGCTGTGCAGTAATGTCTGGGTTAGAATTTATGCAGATTCAAGGCAGTGTTGAATTAGGAACACAGCAAACTTAAACTCGTTAATTTCAGTTAGGTTTTTCACCTCCTTAAACATCCTCTTCCTATGAGAAGATGTTCATTGATCATCTTGAGGTTATCTGCCTAAATCAAGTTCAAAACCATCCCTGTTAGATTTAAGTTGGTCACAAGTACACTGGGGAAAATGGATTTTTTGTGTGTACAAATGCTTGTTGGCTATATTTATATATTTAAGACTGAGCCTTCTATTTATTGCTTTTTTAGATTAATATCTTGGACTGGGAGAAAAATTGATCCTGTTGGTGTTGACTACATCCTCCAAAAGCTGGGCTTTCACCATGCAAGGACTACTATCCCTAAGTGGCTGCAGCGTGGTGTCATGGATCCTTTGGACAAAGTTTTGTCAGTCCTTATAAAGAAACTTGGTACTGCACTACAGGATGAAAAGGAGAAGAAAGGAAAAGACAAAGAAGAATATTAAAAGTACAGTGTGACAACCCTAACTCCATTTGATTTTATCAAAGTGTTTTATTATATTTTAAGAACTTAAATATGGTTTAAAGAGAAACCTAACAGCTTTTTGCTACTCTATTTAAAACTTACATTGTGAGTAACTGTTTACTGTGGTACTTGATACCATTCTGTATTTGAAGTTATTGCATGATGATGATGACCAATGTATATTCTGTGAAGGAATAGCTGGAACACTGTAAATCTGCTCCTCAGCGTCCATTTTATGATGTGCAATATGATCCTGCATCTTTACAATACTTGCAGATTAACTGTGAATTTTCTTAAGATTTTACTTGCCATAACACAAAACCCCTCGTTGATGTGACCAGTAATTGATTTGTCAATGTAGACTGGTGTAAATTATATATATATATATATAACTTATGAAACTGTGATTGCCTTAGTGCTAAAAATCATGAAGTTTATTACACTTGTAATAAAATTTAACTACTGTACAGGACCTTTTTATGTATTAATCAAGGAAGCCGAACAAGAAGAAGAGAGTGCTTTAAGCGTGACTTTGCAGAGTGTGGTTTAAATGAGGGGAAGCCCGGGAGCTCGGGAAGCGCCGCCCCGATCCCGCAGGGGGGACGCGGCGCCTTCGCTGCGATCGGCACCAGCTGCTCCCGGTCCGTGCGGCTGTGGCGGCTTCGGGTGCCGCCCATGCCCGCTGGGAGCGGCCGGGAAGGCGAGCAGGTGTCTGGGAAGCGTTTTGGCGCCGAGCCGGCAGCACAGGGGTAAAACCGGGCGGCGACTTCAGTCCCCCAGGTTCTCCCTCAGCTCTTCCCTCAGGCACAGCTGCGGCTTCGCGCCTCGGCCGCGGCCCTCACGAAATGGCGGGAGGGGCGGTGTGGGGCCGCTCCGGCCTCTGAAGGCCCGGCGGGCTGAGGTGTGAGGGCTGCTCGGCCCTGTGAGGCCATCGCCTCAGGGCAGCCGGCCCCTCCCCGGCTCCTCCACGCTCCTGTGGCCTCCGCCTGCCCGCGGCGTGTGAGCGCTGAGGAGCTCGCTACAGCAGGACGAGGGCGGAAAGTGCAGGTACCAAATCCTTCAACTCCAGCGCCAGCTCGGCCTGGAAACTCGAGAGGTTTAGTTCGCTTTACTTTGTACTTTTTTTAGTTATGCTTTAGTTCGCCTCAGTCCCTCAAGAGCGGCTTGAGGAGTTGTGTCCTCGGAGGGGCAGGGCCGCGTTACGCGTGAGGGAAGGTGCTTTAACAGTGGGCGCCCTGCGGGGAAGGACACCGGGTCTGGGTTCTACCTCAGCCCTGAGCGAGTTGTTTCTGGTGTTCCTGTGAAATAGCTTGACTAGGAAGGCTCTGCTGGGTTTTTTGCAGGGTGTCTTTACTGCTGGCAGCGTTAGCGTTAAGTTTCCGTAGGTCGGTCCGAAATGGCGAGCAGCAATGGCTGCTTTGAGGGTGCGGCAATGCTCGCCTTCGACCCCGCGCCTGAGGAGATTCTGGCACCCGATGTTCTCAGACACTCCATTTCAAAGGATCTTTCCGAGCCTGTAACTGCAAGGCTGAATCTTCCACGTTCTATGAGGTTCAGTGAACCAGGCGTGATGAAAAATCCAGGTATAGTTTGCAGTTTATACACAGGGATTGCCTGCTAATACTATTGAAAGTAATTTTGCTTTTTATTATCACTGTGTTTTCTTACATGACCTCTTTAGCATTTCCTTAAAATTGGCTCCCCTCTTTTAAAGTCTTTTTGTGCTGGAAATGTATCTATTTGTTGTTGGGTGGCCTATGTAGTAGCAATATTACCTAATTATAAAGTTCAAGTTAAACATTAAAAATACTGACAAAAGATAGAGTATGTTCTACATGAATTTTCATAAATGACATTGTGAAGGGTCTTAACTGCAGTTTGAGATGTCCCAGGATGTATTTTGAATTTTGTCACTTAGAGTAGTTGTGCTGAGGTAAAGGCACGTGGTAAAACACTTAAAAGTGAGGATTTCTTTTAGTTCTTGGCTGGGAGGTTGTTGTGCTTGGGTATATCACAGCCCTGAAGCTGACGATTTTATCCATCCAGTGGCTGCTGAAACTTTTATAGTGTCTTACAATAGAGAGTCCCATTGCTTTTTTAAGAAGTGTCTGAAGAGCATTTATTGTAAGCAGATTTTCAGGGAATGTGTTCAGTTCTCTCCTTAATTTTGTTTATGGACCTTTTCTTTTTAAAGGAGCAGACACCACCACATTTTCAGCCCTTCCCTCACAGGAAGAGCTGGATTTCATTGAAAGATACAAACAGGGAGTAATAAACTCAGTATCTGCCTTGCATATGTTTGCCAAAATACATCACCTGGAGCTTGAATTGAAAGAAACGAGTGTGGCAGGTAAATATTTCTGCTTCCAAATTAGGTATTATTTGCTTATCCTTGGGATGATTTGATGGTGCTGATACAGCTGAACCTCTTTACTTTTTGTACTGATTGTACTACCCCCACATATGTTGGATTTTTGGCTGCCCTTTTGTTGCTTCCACAGCTGTTTCTCATGATGAGGTGCTACAGAAATAGATCAGGTGCATCGTGTTTAATTATGGCTGTTACCAGAACTTAGGCACGATGAAGGGAAAGCTGCCAGAATTTTTGGGGAGGGGTAGGGATGAGAGTTGTACTTTGCCAAAATTGTCTTTTTGTCTTGTATTTATTCTAGGAATTAGTATAAGGATGTAAAGCTATGGGTGAAGTGCCTTGAAATAACTTCACTGATTGCATCTGCTTTTTTCTTCTCCTTTAAAGGCGATGTCATAAGGCCTTATTTTGCTTTTTGTGCTGTGATAAATGGTGTTTGCTACAAGACTGGGCTGGGAAAGAACAAGAAGGAGTCTAAATTAAATGCAGCTAAACTGGCTCTTGCTGAGCTGCTTAACTTGGAGAATACAGGGGCAAAGTCTTTTGAGGATTCAGGTAAATATTGTAGCAATACCTAAGTGGAACTCTAAATGCTTGGCTTAACAGTGTTCTATGCAAAATAGCTGTGGTTTTATTAAATGCTGCAGTTATTGGCCTCTGTCAGGTTTCTTGAATCCTTGGGGCAAATCTCTAGTTTGGTTCTGAAACTGCTTTTAATTTTTTTTATTTGTGTATTAAGAGTTGCATCAACTGATGCCAGGAATACTGAAGGAATAAATTTGCTGCTCACTGAGTACAGCAACATGAGCTACATCTGAAGTGGGTTTGAATTTTTATGATTAAAAGGGTTCCCCACTGAAATACTGCTTTCAACAGAGTTCAGTTGCCACAATATTTTATCTTGAATTTTGCTGTCTGAATCATTCTAAGCTTAGAAGGACTTCAGAATCAGAAAAGAACATTCATAGAGAATTGGGAAGTTTGACTTGCTGGAAATGGTGCGAGATTGATGTTTAGAAATTAGGAATGACCATCCCACTTCAAAATGTTGTTAAATTCTTAGATTTTTCCTGTGCTCCTGCTGAACTCCGACCTCCAGCAAACTCTGCTTGTGTTTCAAGGACTGGTAAGGAATAGTCTTATTTTTCCTCTCTTGATTCAAGGTGCCCAGCAAATAGGGTTTTTTTTAATTTTTTTTTTTATATTTTAATGCATTACGTGATCTCTCTGTGTTTCTGCTGTAAGGGCTACTATTACTAGGTTAGTTCTGCAGAAGGATAGAACTTCAGTAAATTGCTTGAATTTCGATCACCAGTCCAGGTCAGAGAAATAGAAACTGTTGTCTGTCCTTACTTGAGCTGGTGTGCAGTAGGTGATCAGACTTGGGCTATATCTGTTGTCATTTGTAATGGATGATAAAAGCATCAAGTGTTCAGGTGTTCTTGAGCTTTTTTTTATCCTGAGGATCTTCTGAATCCTGAAAGTACGTGTGGTTGTGCTTATACCATGTGTTCAGGGTTATAATTTGGCAAGTTGCTCATGTCTGTTTTTTCCCCTACCTTCAAATTTGTGTCTTGATGGATTCTGTTGTTTCATTTAGGAGTAGAACATCCCTATCAAAAACTCTCACAAACACTTGAGGAAGTGTTTAACCGCCTGACTTCCCAGCACCCCGAGTACCACAGCTGTGGCAGTTCCCTGGCTGCCTTCATCATTGAAAAGGGCAAGTCTGGTTTGATTGTGAGTTTTGGGCAGTGGGAAATCGCTTCCCACAGAGCCCTGAAGCAGCTTGGTGGGCAGCCAGGCCTGGTGAACTCAGCAGCATCTCTGGTTTTAGGTGGGCAGCATGAAGTGGTGGCACTGGGGACAGGAGAGTGCAACTACAGCCGGAGCTTCGAGTCCTGTGGGAGGCTCTTGCACGACAGCCATGCCATTGTCACTGCCAGGCGTTCCCTGCTCAGGTGGGAACGTCTCTGCAAATCCTTCCCTTGCGGCCATTTTGTCTCAGTTTTCTGCACTCGAATGTTACGCTTACGTAAACTAATATACAATAATATAATCGCATATCTGGATTATAGATTGTATAAAATATGTAATATATTTTTCTTTTAGATATTTGTATCGGCATCTTTTGCTGTTCTATAACAAAAATCCAGCCAAGGCAGAGAGATCCATATTTTGCACAGCACCAGGCTCAAAGCTGCTTACCTTAAAGCAAAATATAACTCTGTCACTCTACATGAACCAGCTTCCAAAGGGAACTGCTCAGTTAAAATCAGAGGTGTAAGTACCGTGGTATTTTCCATGATATAATGGAAGATTAATTTTTACCTTGTTTAGAGAACATTAATGTACAGGGTAGTAGGGATAAATATGAGATAGAGCTCAATATAATCATACTGGAAACTTCTACATGGGTCATAGCTTTTGTTTATTACGGACAATAACCTGTTAACCCTCTTCCCAAGATACTATTAAAATACTGTTAAATCATGAATGTAACCTCTGAGTGGATGTAATGACTTAATGCCATCATATGCACTACAAGATTGGAGTACAAAAAGCCTTGAATTGAAACAAAAGGCTCTGCTTTGATGTCTTCCTTCTTTGTAGCTAAGGGGAAGAAGTGTTTTGCTTCAGAACAGCCACTGGTTTGTCTCCCTTATGTCTTTTATCTTCATATTTAAATATTTTGAATCACACAGTGAGTTATGTTTTAAAGGAGATTTTAAGAACCTTAGAGCTGTTTTTTCACAAGTAACTTCTGTTAGAGTGTGAGTAGACAAAAAAGTGACAGCTTGCTTGCAGCTGATCTTTTTCATGTGTGCAGTCTGGTGGCTAAGATTAGATTAAGTGGCTATTTCCTATTTAAATACTGATTTCAGTATTCTATGCACTTGAGCAGCTCAGTCTGGTGTTCCTAAGAATTACAGACGTTGAAGATAATACAAGGCCTAGATTTACTGATTATTTTTTTCTGAGAAACAGCATTAGATACCACTTAGTGTAATCTGTGTGATCAGAGTGCCTTCTCACTGAAACCCATTCTCTTGTCCTGCCTTAGGCATCTCGGTCCCCAGTCCATATCTGCTTATGAAGCCAGCGAAGAGCTGAGTCTGCACGTTGCTCTGGAAGGCAGGATTTACCTGGCTGCTTGCTGTCCCCCCAAGACTGTCAGAGTGAGCAGCATGTCAGCTGGTGACAAACTGACCAAGTGGGAGGTGGTTGGTCTTCAGGGAGCCTTGCTGAGCCACTTCATTGAGCCCGTGTACATCAGCAACATTCTTGTGGGTACGTTCAGTGCCAATTCTGGGTGGGGGGGTCGTGTGTTTTCATATTCCAGTTTGATGGCATTTTATAAAGCATGAACTAAACCATGACTTCTTTGGAGAGCTACAGAATTGTTCCTTGAGATGCAGTGAGCCAAAGTGTAAATACACTTAGGTGTATTTACTTAGTAGGCAGCCAGAAATGCTGTTGGATGTGAGGTAATGTGGGCAAACTCCTCAGCATATTTTCTGTTTTCTAATGGTGCCTTCTGGGGAAGAAAGTGGGAAATAATTTTTGTTTTGTGAATTGAATATTGGAACTGATCTTTACAAACACAGAAAAAAATGTCTATAGTAGATTAAGAATGCAGAAGCATCTGCATTTTTAACTTTTTTATTTGATGTACTTGTATGTGACTGATCTTGCCCTGTTAACTAGGGAATGGAAGTTGTAAGGATACAAAAGGACTGGACATAACCATAAAGCAGCGCCTGGATGATGAACTTATTTCAAAGCTTCCTGTGCCTTACCTGGTCAACAGATCTCATGTTTACCTGGTGAAGGCTGCACTGCCAATCCAAACAGATTTGAACCAGTGGTCACTTAGTTTGAATTGGACATTGTCAGATGCATCTCTGGAGGTTGTGGATGGATTAAGTGGGAAGACCACTGAAAGGTCAGCATTTATCTTCATTGTGTTGGAAATAACGGGTTAGTGCTGGTTTATTGGAGTATTCAGTTTTTAAGCTATGAGAGAAATTCTCTCCTGTGTTAGCTGAAGGCATCCTGTGAGATCTTGTAAGTTCACAGTGAAATAATAAGATAACAAACAAAACAGTTCTCTCAGTGGAGATATCTGGTACCTGTGGGAACGAAAATATTTTAGCTTTCACAGTGCATAAAACAAGTCAGGGTTCTAATTGAGATGAGACGAGATGAACAAACATTCCAGCATGATGGCATTCACCAAGTGTTAGGAGGGAGGGAAAAGCCCCTGTAAGGATCAGAGCAGTCTCCCTGTCGCGAGTTTGTTGCTCATTTCCATCCCTGTTTCCACAGCTCCCCGTTCCGCAGCGGCAGCTGCCTGGCCAGCCGCCTGTGCAAGGCCGCCATGTTCAGCCGCTTCAGGATGCTGGCCAGGGAAGCAGGACGGGGTGACCTGCTCCAGTTTGCAACCTACCACGAGGCAAAGGTGAGCTGACACAGGGAGAGGTATCATTTTTACAGTGTTTGTGCTTACTACATGGTGGTGGGAAAGAGCACAGATCTCTGTAACTGTACCTCTTGAGATTTTTAAAGTTTTTTTTCTTTTTTAGATGAAATCTCAGTTATACCAAGAAGCTAAAAGCTTGCTGCAGAGCTACCTAGAGCAACACACTTATGGATCATGGATTGTCAAGTCTCCACATATTGAACAGTTCAGTGATTGATGGAGGTGGATTGAATGTTAAGTTGGTTTGAATGATCTGTTTCAGTAAATATAGTTCTGAGTTGTAAAAAGTTCAACTTTTAAGTTCGTAGTTACAGAATGAAAACAATCCCAGAGCTGCTTCTTGTCAGTTTAAATGCACCACCTGCAGCAGTTCAGTCTTTTCCCAAAATGGGTGTTTTCTTACACGTAAATCTGTTCTGCCATGCCACCTCATTTCAGCTTCCTCACCCCTGTTCCTACAAGTCCCCACCCTATAGATGGAGTTAATAATTTTTCCTGATAGTTTCAGGATTTCTATATATTGATTTCTTCTTTTTCCTCCCTTTCTCATAACATTAAAAAAAAAAAAAATCACTGCAAATTGGATTTCTTAAAAAAAAAAAAGGCATACCAATATGAGAGTCTTTCAGAAAAATTAAGGAAATGGGCAATCTGTGCTTTATCTGTACATCCGTCGTTGCTGAGAGTTTCGTTTACTGTGAATTTGCCAAGTGGTTTATAGTTTATGTTGTTTGTACTAGAAGAGTTAAAAAATAATTTTTGTATTTCCAAATGTGAAACCTGTAATGACCAGCTGTTACTCAACTGTTTTGTGACAGTTACTGGTTCTGGTAGTGGGTTTAAAACATAATGCAGGTCTCAAAGCTGTAAATCGGAAAATAATGCATTGTAGTACAGAAGTCACCAGAAACAAGGCTTTTTTCAGCTTTTGTGGTTTGTCTCAAACCCCACCAATGTTAATGCTTGTGGATGAGTTGGACTCCTGCACCCTCAGATGACTTCATCACTGCACTCACTGTCAAGTTCTAGTGAAATTATCTGCATACACAGTAACCTGGAAAACGGTGCCTGTCACAAGGGAATTTACTTCCTTTTAAGTCCTGGGAAGGACATGGTAGCATTGGGAGGCTGTTGTTAAGCACCATGTTTGGAGTTGGTGTGATATTGTGAATTCTGATGTGTTCAAGCTGGACAGTACACTTGGATTATGTTCCATGATTTCTGGGAATCATGCAAGAGTGAGGACTTAGGCAGTGCTCTCATACATCAGGATTAGTGAGCCTTGTGCTGTAGTCATGTTTCACCTTCTTAGTGTTATGGCATTCTCAAAGAAGTTTCTTCTCCTGGTATTTGTTTATTCCTTAATCTGTTCTTCCAGATAATATGTAGAGTCTTCTGTGGGGATGATCTTATGCTGATTTACAAGTTGTTGAAGCTCGCTGACTTGCTACTACTCGGTCCTTGACCTTTTTTTGGCTATTGGCTGAAACTTTTTGTCTCTCTTGTTTTCTGTTACTGTCCTTAACTTTGGGAAGTTGTGTGGTGATGTTTGGTTTGTGGCACTTGTTCCGTGTAATGTTTTCTAAGAATTCTTGGGAATGGCCGTTGTATTTCAGGCCTAGAGTACTGTGTTGCCCTTTTGCAGGGGTGTTAAAAGTTGAATAAATGTCCTTGACAATAATGGACAGCTCTCTCCACCATTTTCTGAGCCAGAAGGAACTCCTCCCTGGAAGAGGATCCCTTTCCTCCATCCCTGGTAATGATGTGAGCTGATACAGAATGATGTCTGTGTCTTGGCTGTGCCCTGTCCTGGATACTGAAGAAACTTAACCCTGTCCTGGCTGGAACCAGCATGTTATTCATCCTTGTTACATAGGAACACAGGTCTCATTTCCATAATCAATGGCTTTTCCTCCCACATGTCAGTTGAGTTAATTTAGTCTGTCACTATGGGTTCTGTCCATCCTGGATGTACACACCATACATAAAATATTACACAGTTCAACCTTACAGACTGTTCTCACCCAGAAATCCAATCCCTGCAGGTGCAAATTCTGTTTCTCCATCTCTCTGCATTACCCACTGTGTGCTCATGGGTTTGGGGGCAAAAACAATCCCACAGATAGTTTTGCCTCTGCTTCAGGTAGGACTAATCCATTGTATAGTGTTGCCATGCATTGTATCAGATCACACCATGTCTCAGACTCCATATGCTTACATATCAGGTGCATGTCACGTAAATGTCACGTGCCACATAAGCATACACCCCTGCCATGTCAAATGCATGTCGGGTGACATGTCACATATCTCAATTTGCTACTAGAGCTGTGCAATCAAGCAGGAGAAACACTGCTTGTGTTTGTGAAATTGTTAGTGAGTTCTAGTTTATGCCTTTCCTTATGAATGCATGGGTGAGTATCTCCTTACCATCATTTCCTGCTTTCTGAAGTATTTCACTGTTCTTGCCTTCCTAATGCTTACTGTTTAGGGACTTAGGAAAGGTCTTGGTTGTTCCCCGTGGGATGTCCAGCTGCACAGACTGACTCCAGGGTAGGTTTTACCCAGCTGCTGCAGTTGAGGGCTCTTGTGCTTAAGGAAATAATAAAGGAAGCCTCATTTATTAAGTCAATTGTGCTTAATGAAAGCTGCTCCTTAGCCCTCTCTCTGGTTGCTGAGAGCTGGGGCAGCACTGCAGATGGATGAGCTGATACTGGAAGAGGTTTGTGTTGTGTGTGGTGCTGCATTTCAGAATTCTTGGAGTAAGAAGGAATCTATGAAGAGAAGGATTTTTCCACAAAGACTGACAACATAGAAGGAATTATGCAGAATTTTCTTGCCTGTTTTCTCATCTTCTGTGTCCTACTGTATTAAAGTATTTTGGTTATTACTGTCATCTGATTTGAGGAGAGGGTGGAACCTTATCTGTTTGTGGCTGAGATCACTGACAGTATTTACTTTCCTGAGTCCTTGTGGGTGGGGACAGAGCACTCCTTCACCGTGGGAAGAGAAGATGAGCAGAGAAACAGACGGCAGTGCTGTGAGTATTTTCCCAGTTTTGGCAGAAAGCTGTCATTAACGCCTATTTTGTCTTTGCAGCATGCAGGGAAACTGCTGATTTTTCCATTGTTAGTCTGGTTTTAAGTGTAAGGTGAAGTACTCCATACTGCACCCACCAGGAAAGCACATCAAAGTCTAGACATAGCTGATAGGTGTTGTAGTAGGCTCACTTTCATCAACTACAGCCTGTCTTGATAGTATTGACTCGGGGCTTTTGTGTCCTAAAAATTATTCCTACGTTGTTTTTTCCTGCATAAAATTACGATGTCACATAACTGGCCTATCAGCGTTGGGAGTAAGGAGATTACTGAGGTTCCAGGTTCCACAGAAAGATTTCTGACAATGCAGTGTGTTCACGTGTATTTTCACGTTAATCCTCAATTTCATGTCAGTTTTCTTGTCCTGGGACCTCTCTTACCTGCACAGTTCTTATTTCAGGTGTGTTACTGTTTTCCTAATGCTTCCTTGTCTCTGAAGAATTTTGAGAACATTGCTTACACCAATGAGAAAAATGTGTCCTGCAGGAAACTTGTATAGCTAAGTTGTACAGCTCAGGAAAGAAGGAAGGTTTCTTTTTTGAGAGGAAACCATTTGGTATTCTATACCTTGTGCTGTATGCCAGCATAACCTGGCATTTTACACTGCTTAAAAAGTTACCTGCAGGTGTGTTGCTTTGAGTCTGGACAGCCTGCACACTTGCATGCTGCTGAATGCTTCATTGGGGTTTTTTGTGTGGTTTTTAAAAAACAGAGTAGTAAGCCACCCATAAAAAGGACAGTATAATAACAAAGAAGACTCTAGACATGATTTTTCTATGTCAATGATATTTATTAAATATAATCTACAAGTAACTTTGAATAGCTTTTTCAATAAATAGTTGTCTCAGGTTGTTGTCAAAGTGACAATGAAGGAGTTTTCAAAAAAAACGTTGAGCCCCTAGGGCTTACAGAAAGGATCAAGTGTGATCTTAGAACAGACTCTTACCGCCCACATTACAAACATTTAGTGGTCCCAAAAGGGACAAGCTAGTAGTATGCCACATGGCAAAATATATAAATTATTCGGAATTAAATATCTTAATAAATAATGTAGCAGTAAAAAGAAAAACGTTATATAGTTTCTTTCATTATAGATTGCACGAAGCTGATCAGTTCTTGGTGAAATTCAGCAAACTTTTTCTTCTCATTGGATTCACACTTGTTGCATGTGGCGTTTGAGAAATCAGGAATCTGCAATACAGAGAATTTTATTGATTGGTGATGACTTTCTTGCTAGCTGGTTTTAACAATGACGCATTATAACTTGTGTAAAGATTTTTCTTTACTAAAAAAACCCAAACCCTTAATATTTGTAGCTTGAAGAGTACTCCTGAAGTGCTACAAGGATCTCTAGGCCATGGATTTTATTTAGTAGTACGTCAGGATGTACTGCATTCACCCCTGGGCCCTCCAGTTGTAAGCTTAGGGCTCAGTTTTCAAAGCCATTGCTATGTAAATATTTGTTATGCTCCTACAAACAAGCTTTTGTCAGCATAAGATGCTTTGCATGATTCAGCAAAGAAAATGTCAGGTTTTGTTCAGTGTTGGCTTGTGTAACCACTAGGGCTAAGTCTATTTTACTGCATTGAATTACCATGCAAATAGATACTTTCACATAGTTTATCTTAGCGTATTTTTGTACAAAACCCTGTGTTTTCATGAGTTGGTAACACAGATCTTGATGCATGAACATGCTTGGTCTGACATGGTTTTCCACTAATGGTGAAACACATTTTTATTCCCCTTTTTTTTGGTAGCATTTGTGAAAGATTGCATACCTTCAAATCCTTGAGATTCTTTTGGATATTTATAACCTGTTGCATGTCCTCCTTGTCCACATCTTGTTTCAAGACATTCAGTTCTTTCAGGAAACATGCCAGAGTTGCGTGGTTGCACTCCTAGATAAGTAAAAAAACTGTTAGGTGTGTGACTTGTTTTCCTTGTTCCAGTTTTCAAAATCTCAATTCTCAATTTTTTACCCTCATCTCAGGAACTGAGCTGTTTGTTTTCTGCTGTGTATTATATAGTTCTTTTGTTGCCCTTAAAATTGTAAGTGTGGCCTTAATTCTATAGCTTTTGAAAAATGAGTAACCTTTCCAAGACTTGTAAATCGATGTGTTGCAATATCTCTTGGGGACAAAAAGCTGCAATATTTATTCCTGAACCAAGCCTTACTTCTGGTTGCCATCTGAAAATCATGGGTTAGCAAACAGGTAGCATCTCCAGTTGATGCACTTTGGTTGCTTTATCTAATGTCTGCATCAGAGCAGGCTTTTGAACAGGATAAATAACTTTGTGCACCACTTTTGCAAGCTATTTCAGGCACTCCCTGGCAATATGTTACTGATCAGCCCCAAACATTTGCATTTAAGCCCTGGAGCTCTGAGATAGCCAGGTCTTAATGCTGCCAGCACCTGAGAAAAGG